TTTTTCTCTAAGCCTATATTCATGTTACGCAGCCGTTCAAAATACAAATCTCATTTCTGTTAAATAACAGCGAACTGTTATGTTAGGAATGGTCCGCTAAAAGCTATTGTTTTTGGGTTTGCAAACTTCAATGTTTTTAAATCTCTAAGGCTTAAAACAAATGTCACATTTTTCGCTTTACATATATGTATCTAAGAAGGGAACACACTGCTTAAACTGTTGTTAATTATTTTTCAGAATATATTCTTAAATAGCGAATGAAAGCAATCTATTGACAACTGATAGCCAAGAAAAATAAATACGTTGAAAACTAACAATTCAGAACAGAACATGAAACAGATGATAAGCTGGTTATAACCACTTTCAAGGCTTATAGAACATTTTAAATACATCTTAGAAAACTAAAAAACAAGTTGTTTTTTCTGATAGCTTTACGATATTCTCCAATTGTAAATTTGACCCATTTCTTCACAGCAAATTGGAAGAATCTTAACATTTTTGAGAACTCTACTTATACACAACTTTTAGAAGGCATAAAAATATATTATTTGTCTCCATTTCGTCTGCCACCAAATCTTAAACTCCAAAAAACAAAACACCAAGTCATCACCCATAACGAAAGGTGAATTCCTTGTTTGTTTACGGTTTCAGAATAGATCATCAAAAGAAGCACTTAAATCCCAAAAACAACACAATTAGTACACTATAATTAGTAAGTAAATAAAGGGGACTGCCACGCAACAACAAAAAAGTAGCAACAACCAACATAAACAATAACAGCAACTAACGCCACGTTGTAATGCATCTTATGTTCATTTTGAAGCATAATTGAGTTTACGGTGCCACAGACGACTATAAACCTGACATGTTTGAAGTGGCACTTGACAGCTGTAATCAATTGGTCTAATTAGCAGCTTTAATCTTTCAAATGGGAACAAATACAACAATTTTTTATTTGGACTGCTTTAGGATAATTGCATTTTCGTGTCGGTGGATAAGAAACATTAATCTATTTATTGCTTATTGGAATTTCAATTTCTTCATTCCATTTTTTGCATAAACAATTCTATTTTTTCTTTGACGAATAAACAAACATTTCCGCTGCCAAAAATCTATTTTTTCGGCACAATCAATATTTTCTCTTGCAAACACACAAATCTATTCGCTGCCATTGTATTTTTCTCACACTTAAACATAAAGTTGCTTAGTTTAATGGCAAAACAAATGCGAAATTGTTTCAATATTTCTAATATTGACATTGGTGCTAAAAATGCTTTTACGGCTTTATAAACAGCCATTCATCTGCATATTCAGCAAAATACACAGACATCAATTAAAAAGGCCCATATTGCACGCTAAGTCAATTAATAGCCTACATACTACTATATGTATATATTCTCATATACACCCATTCCTTTTGCAGGCTGACCAAAATATTTGTGCTAAAAATTAAGCAACATTACAGAAACAATTAGCCAAATTATTTGTCACACACAAATAAATAAAAAGGCAATTAAAAATCGCAATCGTACTGAGCACTTGTCAACGTTTGATTTGTTGGAATTGCTCATTTGCATATGTCTAGCTATCGAGCATACGCCGTGGGGTACGTGAGAAAAATCTTAAAATTAGTTTAAGCGAATCATTATTTTTAGCATTCTATATCATATGAAAGCCATTAGCGAGCTCAGCGCCCGATCTCACGTGGGCGTTGGGAAAAACGTTTACAGCATGGCTATATCGCTGCTATATACTATATTATTGAATATTGGCAACAATTTTTGGACGGGATGGGTTTTATTTATAAATGTTTAGTAGAAGCGCGTTCTAACAACATTGTTTATGTGCATTTTTACAAACGGAATGCTGGTTTGTGTCATAAGTGGTTTGGGTTATTAAGGGAACTAAGAAAGTTATTTAATTTGTATTTAAATTAATTTTTGTTTGATTATATATGAAAATAATAAAATGTAATAAATGTACAAACTACAAAATATTCCAACAATTAAAAGCGTCATCAAATTTTATTCATTATGGAGCTAAGCCGTTGTAAGTATCTATAAGCGTTAAAACCTCTAGACTGTAAGAAACGCAACTTTTAAATATTTACAACATGACAGAAGAATTATCTAATATATTTAAAATATACAAATAACTGGCATGACAACTGTATGAATAAACATTTAACTTCACGAGTCAATTAATAATTTTTCAATACTTTATTTTCAACTTATATTGGAAGAGCGGTTATATCTCGGAGAGTAGAGTTGTAGTTGATCTGTTTTTTGAACAATCATCGCTATAACGTCTTTAGAACACAGTGTTAAGATTTGAATCCTTTCGAACCATAATCAACTATTTGCACTGCAATTTTATTTTATGTGGAGATAACTAACTAGCAGTAGTCCGATTTTTCATATACTTGGTAGGTTTTATGGAAAATCTAATACTAGCAATTTACTTGTTATTGAAGTTATAACTGCTTCAAGAATGTCCTTAAAGACAGCCTGTGGGAACAGATTCTCCTAGATTTACACAACAGAAACGTTGCTCAAAACTTAAAGCCATTCTATATACTGCACACTCGTATATAAAATTATATTTTTGAGCACGTTCGCTGCACTCGCCCTGAAAATCTGTGACAAGACAAGTTCGGCTATGCCCGAAAGTGCAGCTAAATTTGTAAATAGCACTGCAAGGCACGGCAGAAAGGGCCAAAAATAACACGGACCCATCCCTTGCGACATTTTATAGGTCCACTATAAATAAAAGCAGCACAGGCCGAATTGAACTTAGGAACGTTGCAATACATACAAGTATAGTTTTTGGGCACAACTTTTCAGCGAGATGCAAGCAACAAGCCATGTTGTTTATAAATAGCGCAATGAAGCCATTTCCACTGTGACATCAGCATCAGAAACAGCAATAGAAACAGCATTTAGGCAAACTATTTAACATGAAAAGGCATTTTCTCTGTTCTAAGTTCAAACACGCGCTACTTTTGTCAATAAACAACAACATTCTCGAATCGATGCATACAGAAACGAGTTGTGTTCCATAAAAAAATGATCTCACTGCCTCAATGTTAATTCGAAAACAAAAAGGCTTTTGGCGAACCTTGCCGATATGCGATCATAGTTGTCTCGTCAGCAATTAAACAAACTTGTTTGCTAACAAAATCTACACCGACATTTAATGAGCCGTTGAGTTTTCAGCTACAACCAGGTTAAAAAGGAAATTGCTTCCCAAATAATACAAATCGCCTGCCCAACAAAAAAAAAATTCAAATAAATTTATTGGCATTCAACGTGTCTAGCCATTGGCGTCGGTCGATGAATGCAATTTCCATTTCGACACATTATGTCATTGTCAATATAGTATATCAGCGCATAAAAATAGCCAAGAATGACAGCGTTTTAAGGTTAAATAATTATTCAGGACAAAATTTAAAAACAATATACGGGCAATTGATGAAATGTTGTCCAATTTTATGCTCTTTGAAATGGAAATGTGCTTAAAGCAAACCAATAATTTAACTAAAATTCGAATTGTAACTAAATAGAAAGTACCTGCTTCCCCTGTCCTTCATGTTAAACATAAGTTTCTATACTTATACTATTCTACATAAATTGTATTCAATATTTTTCCAAAGCAAGTTTTTAAACAGTTTTAAAGAATAATATATTTTATGTGTTTTTGTGATACTGTGAATCTAATAAAATGCGTTTGAAAATAAATGTGCTCTTCTGCATACTTTTCTTTTGTCTTTTAGTCGTGAAGCGTGCGGAATAAGAATTTTATATTTTTATACCCTTGGGTATTTTTGATCGAGGCAAACCTCACCCTATGTTCCCATAGGGTAATTAAGTTTTGCTCACCAACAATAAGTTTTGCCTATTTTTTGAATTAAAATTAATATTTCGAAAGGGATTTACTTTTTTCTGTTCTACTTTTTTCTTAATTCAAGCAAAAAAAAAATGAAACAAACAGTCAATGATGATAGGACAATAAATCAGCCACAGAACCTAAGTAGTGTTAGCAACAACTTTCAAGGTGTTTTCTTCTATTTTAAATATATTCGTATATTTTTAAACAAAAAATATTTAAAATGAAAATGCAAACAAAGCCTTTCTTTTTTCAGTAAATGAAACCCACCCTCGCATATTTCTATTTAAACCAAAAAGAAATTGGATGTTCCGATATAAAATCAAGAACTCTGCTTAAATAGAGTATACAAGCAAAGTAACAAAATAACTAAACAATACCTTTAAATGCGAATTAGTAAAGACTCTAAGTATTTTATATGAAACATACGTTTATACGTACAATACATAGTTTATAAGAGGTTTCATAAATTTCTTAGCCTCGAGCTAACAAAACAAAGCTAGAAATTCAAGAAAAACGTAATATTTCGATTATGTAGATACCGATTCCCACATTTACGGTAACTCCTCGGATTTCAAACCTTTTTTAACTCTTCGCCTTTTTTAAAATCTGCGAGAATCTGAAACTGGTTTCGATTCCTCTGTAAAATGAATTTTAATTTTTAAACCCAATTTTACAAGAATCTAAATTTCGAAATGGATGTCTCACAATTTATGTTAGAATCGGAACGTGAACTGTGAATTCAATTCCCCCCTATGTTACAAAAAATTGTACGTGAGGTACGTGTGATGGACGTGGGCGTCTGGGTCAAGTTCGTCTAGCATTTAACAAATGCAACGCAAGGCAAAGACGCGCACGGCCACGGGGCGTATGTGTGATTCAGCAGCAGAGTTCAATGCTGCAGATGAGTGCCAAGAAAGAGAAAAAACGTATGCGCAATATTTTACATGTTCATTTCTTTCGGTTACCAGCCATAGGCCAATGAAAAGTGATTGCCAGCTGTCCGAAAAATGCAAATGAAAACAACAATGGCTTAGTCACCAATGGATGACGGATTGAGGATGATGCACTCAGAAAAATGTGTACTCGTATTTTTTTAGAGAAGGATAACTCACCTTGCAGCTGCAATATCGTCATTTGATATTCGGCAAGCTTCTCGTCGATATAGTCTTGCGACTGATTCGCAATTATTTCGGCAGTCGATGGACCAAATTCCTCTTCGTCATCATAAATCACATACGATTTAGGTTGCGGAGGCTCCAATGGCACGCCTACAAAGTCGACTTGATCTTGAGCGTGTTGTCTCGGTTGTTGCGATTGCGGTGGTTGATGGAGGTATTGCGGTGGCGGTGCCGGTTGTGGATAATGCGGTTGTGGCTGTAGCTGACGCTGCAGCGGTGCTGGTGGCACATTCTCGTATAGATGCGACAGCGGCGTCTGGCGGTTGCTGTACATGAAATCCGAACTGGGCGTCTGACAGACAATAGGCGATGGCGTGGGCGACAATTGAAATGAGCTGGTCGGTTGGCCATACGAGTTCTGGTGCTGAAGAGGCGCCGATCGGAAGGGACGCGGCGCAGAGCCATAGGCTGGAGATCCAGGTGTTGGTGGTCCAAACTTAGTGGGCGTCTGGGGAGCATAGCCATAGCCGGGCTGTGGTTGTGGCTGCGTCTGCGATTGGAACGTGGACGGTGGTGGCTGATAAGGCGCAGGCGATTGATTGCCGGCCGGCCATTGTGGACACGGATGTGGCATATTATTGCTGCCACGCTGGCCACGCACCTGGGACTGCGTCACACCTGGAGCTGGTGACATGGCATGACCAAAGGCACGTGGACCCGAAATTATGGGCGGCGGACTGGGCGCCGTCCACGGCGAGGGCGGACGGTACAGAAATGATGACGGCGACGGTGAGGCGGGATTAGGCGCACGTGGATTCCAGCCACGCGGCCCATTGCCAAAGGGCGGCGGTGGTTGTTGGCCGGACATATTTAATGTCCGGTTAATGGATTTTAAGTGCTGATTTAAGGAACTTTTCTTTCTGCAACTTTAACTTCTCACTTTCTTTTACTTGAGTGCAGCAATTTAATTAAACACTGTAGGTAGACAAATTTTAATTATCTCGTTACGATGGATTCACTTTTTGTTGGAAAACTGTGCAAATATTTCATCTGCTCATTAGTCTTGCACAGCACTCATCACCTGATGCCGCTGCTCTCAGCCAAACAAAAAAAAAACACGTAAATAATTCGTGACCTATTCTAAAAGATGTTCTCATTAATGAAATGCGTGAAAATTCTTACTTTTTTCTGCCAAATACCCAAACTTTTTAACGGAAGTGGGTTAAGTTCTGTTCTGCTTTTCTTTATGCTCTATTTCACATTATTCCTTTAAAAATGGCGCTGACGCCATGGCAAAATGTCGGCCAGTCCTAAAAATCATTCGTGGTCTGCTGCTTCCAAAAGCATATGTACAAGTATATAGCTATGTGTGTTGTGTGTGTGTGGTTTGTCACATATTTTTAAACATATTCTAGTGGAAAATAATTTAGTGTGAAAATTAATGTATCTTTTTGCTTTTTTCTGCAGATTAGACGCTGTCAAATTTTTCTGAAGGTCTCTCGTATGCGCATGAATTATGACTAAGAGAATGTGCCATCAATGTCATAGATTATATCATTGTTAATATTGTACTTAAAGAAAATTAAGTTTTGAATATCGTCTGCAATAAACTAAGTATCAAAAATCGATCAGATATTTCAATAGAGCCTAGAATTTTTTAGATATTGTTATTCACAATGAAAACAAAGTCTTGGACAACAGAGTCAAACAAATTTCAATTTATAAATTGTCTCGGAATATACATATATTGATGAGCACATATTGTATGATCGTCGTTTTCAAGTGTAATAAGCCTTACAAAAATACCGAACATTTCAAATAAATATTTTGTCAGATAGAAGCATTTGACCTTAGTATGCAGTTTTAGTTCTAAATTAACATTGCATAATATATTTTGTAATACTAAGAAAACAAAGCCAACTTCAGTGGTCGACAGATGCCATTTTCCGTTTTTGAAGATATCTCTTGAATATTTCTATCTTAGGGTGTTCAGAGTGCTAGAGCTTAAAAGCTTACATGGCCCAAATATTTAACTTGGGATCCAATGCTCTTAGGGTTTCGAACCTTTGCTCTGTTGCTGAATTAATATTTTTAAAATGGCATCACTGATCGACTCTATAGCACGTTTATTAATGATATATATGGCTTGGAATAAAATTGCTCTAAAAGTCTACACGTTCAATTTGATATTCCTAGCTGTTATATTTTTCAATTTATCGATGTACATACATACAGACAAACAGGCAGACGGACACGTCATGCAGATAATTCCTATAACATGGGATCTGCCACGACTTCCACTGACTGTTACATACAGATGGCATTTAGACTATCTAGTATACCCTTTCACTCTTCGGCTAAATATAAAATACTTGCAAACATTAATTGAAATTAATTGCAGTTGAAGTGAATTTGTCTTAAATAAACAATTCTACTTTTAAACGCTACCCAAACACACAAGTCAAGAGTTAAAATAAATTTAAACACACGCTGTGTACAAAGATTCAGCTTTCGAAGAAAATTTCTCTAGCATCTCTTTCAACAACAGATGAAATTATTTTGCACAGTTTTCTAATTTTTCTTTAGCATCTACATTTCCGTTCAGTTCATCTGTTCGTAATATACACACATTTTATAGCTTTTCCAGTTCAAAAGAGTGCAAAAACAAAAATGGGTTAAAAATTTGCACAGTGTAGGCGTGCCGTCTATATAGATATTGTAGATCAGTCTGCGCACTGACGCCTACCACTTAAAAGCAACAAAAACAAAAGGAAAAAAGCGCGCAGACTTTTCACTTTTGTGGCCAATTCTTTGACGTTTGCTGCCGCTTCGTTGTCGGCGTCGGCATCCGGCAGAAGCAGAGGTGCTGATGCTTTCGAATATTTTCAAAAATAGAAATGAACTCAGTTCGTTAAACTTTTGCTCGAAAACTCATGCGGCCAGCTACCAAGTGCAACAACTCGCTTGTATCTGAAACATTTTCCTTAACCAACATACGCACACACACACACACACACACGGACACCGCAGAGTTTTCCGAGTGCACACGCACACACACCACCAGCCACTTAACAGAATTAGGCCACTTTTAATTTTCGTCCATTTGATGCTGCCTTAAATATAATTGATATAAGTGCGGGGAAAATTTAATGACACATGCTTAAAATTGTTCTCAAGTGGTAAGCGTGTATTTCCACGTTTTTCATTTCGAAAACACACGCGATTATGTAATACTTTTGATTTTCAATTGCGTGAAAAATTGTACATGAACTGTGAGATTTTCTTTTCGTTATTCTCTTGCGATTTTAACCAACCATTTAGTGGAGAAAACACTTATTTTCTTTTAGAACATAACACAATTGCTTCGATTTTTCTAACGGAAGAATTCTTTACACGATCTATACCAATTTCAATTTCTATATATCTATATATACTATACGTATGTATGTATGTATATGTATGGCAGCTGAATATAAGTGGAACAGTATGAAATTTTATTCGATATTGTAGAGGAAGAACCGAGAACAACACTCGACGAGCACGAAACACTAACTGAATCGACAACACAAGCGACAGGAGGAAAATCGCTGTCTGCGACTGATCTTGAGGGAAATTGGAAAATGGGGGAGAATCTTGCGTTGTCGTGTGCACAAAAACGCACGAGAAGCCTTCGGCAAGTGCCGGTCCCCCACTTTCCGAACTTGCTGTGGGTACGATAAATCGGGGTTGATGGAAAGGTAGAAAAGAGAAAGAGAGAGAGAGAGATGTAGAGCGTAAGAAGAAGAAATGCCGGCAAAGCTTGTGGCGCATGCTCCAAGACAAAAGAAAACAAGATTTTACATCGCTCGTTTGTTTTCACACGGTTTTCTAAACAAAGCTGGTAGGCAAAACAGAGACGCGATGAACATGCGCGAACAACAGAAAACACTGAAAGATGTTGAAGATGCCAAAGGCAAAGCGCAAAGAATATATGCGAAAACATTGGGCAGGGTGAGGAATGTTTTATGCGCTATAGAACGGAATCAATGAGTTTCCAAGAAAACTTATTATTTACAAGAAAGCTGCCATTATGTATTATTAATATATAAAAGGAATTAAAACATGAATGAAATAGGGCGTAGGAGTAGGGCGTTCCCAAATCTTAAATATTAGGCACAGGGCACAATTCAAAAAAAATAATAATAATAATGGATAATGATAATAATTTTTATACCCTGTACCCGTAGGGTAAAAAGGGTATATGAGGTTTGTGCAAAGTATGTAACATGCAGAAGGAAGCATCTCCGACCCCATAAAGTATATATTCTGAATCAGCATGACGAGAGAAATCGATCTAGACATGTCCGTCCGTCTGTCCGTCAGGATGAACGCAAGGATCTCAGAAACTATAAAAGCTAGAATAACCAAAGTTGGCATCCAGATTCTCCTAGGTCCGAGAAAGGACGAGTTCATTTTATTTTTTTTAATTTTCCCCCCCCCTTCCTCCGCTACAGAATTTCGTCAATAGCGTCCACATTTCAAATGCTACCTAAACCAAACTTTGCACACATAATTTATATATAATTGTCTACTGTTGTTCGTTTTATTCAATTCGGTCAATTCTAAGAAAAGTTATTAGCAAAACAAATTCTCGCCAGTCCAACCCCCCCAAACTGCAGCAACAAGTTCGCTCGTCTTCTTCCTCTTTTTGCTGCAGCTATGGGCGCATATAACTCAGTGACGGAAGTTTACCTGGGTACAGGGTATTACACTGTCGGGCTTGCTCGACTGTAGCGTTCTCTCTTGTTAAATTTAATTTTCTAAATTAGGTTACCAAATTTTTTTATGTAATGCAATGACTTAGGGGAATCTGGATATTCTCGCTGTTATACATTCCGGAATCCTTGCGTTCAAACAGACAGACCGACAGACGGATGGCTATATCGACTAGTCCTGTCATGCTGATCAAGAATATATACATATGTAAGTACATACCATACATACACTGGTAAAAATTTTAATTCATCAACTTCTAACAGCCCCCTGTTAGAATTTGTTTTCATTATATGTAGTTATATATTTTATTTATAAAAATGACGGCTTGATAAAAGATAAAGGCGGAAAAGGTGCCCTGTTAGAATTTGTTTTGTTTATAGTTATTTATTTTATTTATAAAAATAACGGTTGATAAAACATAAAACCCGAAAAGGCGCGGAAGATAAGCTGTCTTCCACAACCAAACGTTGGATTTTGCGGCAAATGAAAAAGAATCGCCAAACAAAAGTCGTGGAAATAGGAAAAAAAGTTGGTTAAGACTTCAATGTTCATATCACAGAACAAACCATAAGACATTTTTTAAAGAACATTTCGTGACCGAATCCCACGTAAGAAACCGTACATCAGCGAGAAAAACAAGCTTACATTAATATGCATATAAGACAATTTGCAAAGTAATTTCAAATACTAAACATACAGGATCGCAAAAGTATAAGGTCTTTTAACTATGTATGTATCTATTTTCTCCTTAAAATATAAACCAAAATTGCTTCTCATTGCATGTGGAATTCAAATTTTGACCTGTGTGTGTGTAAATGTATGTACATACATATGTATGTACGTATGGATGTATCCATATATTTTAGCGGGTCTGCCACACTCCTTATGTGAGTTGCATACACTTGCACTGAAATAGTATAACCGATAAAAGGTTTTGGGTACAAGGTATAATGTATAATGAGCACCAAATTTGTACACTCACCTATTACACGGAGCTTCGTTTCAGATTTGTAATATCCTGCTCCTTGCCGCAACATTTCGATGCTTAAAATTGCATTTTACACGAATAAAAGCTATTAAATGTTCACAAAAACACTACCGACACGCTTAATAATTCTTTATGATATTAAGAGACGTTTATGACTATATATATTTCACTAAAAATGCACGATTGCATAAAATGGCAATTTGATTACAATGCCGGCTTTTAACTGTGCAATTCGCAAATGACATATCCAAGAAACAGTTGATCTATTTGCAGCCATCTGGCAGCGCCTCTAGTGCTGCTTATCGCAAACAGCTGCATTTCCACTTTGTTCCATGTTTCTTCATATAACTTCTGAACCACCCTGTGGTTGAACTGTCGTCAACAGGGTGAACGGGCTCTGCTGTACAATAATATTTTGATCAAATTCTAAATTGTATTAAAAAATGGCCAGCAAACAATTGATGAACTTGGCTAAGGTCGGACGCAGTGGCAAGAACTTGCTGGCCGCCGCAGCTTCAAGCACCGCGCGCAACAGCAGCACCCGCAGCGACGTCGACAAAGTTACACATACAGGCCAGGTGAGCGAATTCTCGATCTCGGTTACGCAAACATTGTTTTCATGCGATTAAACAAATTTTTCGCAAAAAGGTATTTGAAAAGGATGACTACCGTAATGTGCGCTTCACCAACGCCAAGCGTTATGTGAACGAAAACTGGGGCATCAATCTGATAGATGAGGTGCCACCAATTGAGAGCACCGAACGCGTTGTTTACTGCGATGGTGGCAACGGCCCGCTTGGACATCCCAAAGTTTACATCAACTTGGTAAGTGTTGCGGATTGCGACAACAAATAGAAACATAATGAAGGGCCTTTTTTCTATTTAAGGACAAACCCGGCAAACACATTTGCGGCTACTGCGGCCTGAGATTCATAAAAAAGGACACACATCATTAAATCTACCGATAAAATGAAACTAACCAACTAAAGAGCCTGTTACTATTTTATTAGTTGAACATGAATAAAACTATTATCACCACAATATACACCTCATTGGCTATGGGCCTTGGTAATGTTGAAAATGTTATACCAGCTTGTAGGAGCAAATTAAATATAATAGGAACAACAACACTTTCATAGATCACGCTCTAAAATAATCTCACTTCTAGTTTAACATTGGATGCTAGACTCAGCTGAAGTGTGGACAAAGTTTTTTAAATCTTAGATTTTGCTGATTTTGAAAAGCTAATCAGAGGGCAGAATGGATAAGAAACCTGATGAGTTATTCATCAATAAAGACCATCGATTCCCTAAAGCATTTAAAAGAAGTAAACTTAACCAACTAACAATCTGCTGATTGCAAATGGGAAACAAGTGTCCCAATTATTTAATCCCGGAAAACACATCATTATGATAATTTGAAAAATGTTTTCAACGAATTCCGCCTAAACTATGTCGTCACAGCTAAATAATAATATTATTCGAAACAAAAGTCAGGAAATGTTTTACCACCTAATGGATATGGAGATCTCGGATGATTAGCTACTCTGGAGGAAGTTAGTTTCCTTTGATTGTTCCAAACAAAGACTTTGCATGACTCAGAAAAAACCCAATGTGGACCTCCAGCGATCCTACAACCAGACCACGCAGAACTTTGGCCACAGAGCGAGAGTGTGAAGTAACATTGAACTATAATAATAATAATAGAAGACAAAATAATTGCTTTAAAAGCATTCGAAGATCTTTGTAGATGTCATGTAAACACTACAGAAATAAGTGCATAATGGTGATTAGCTTTTAATGAAAAAAAAAATGCAAATAATAATTTAAAAAATCTAAAAATAATCTATGTATTTAGTATCTACATAATCGATTATGCCATTAGCTAACATTATCCATACAACGTTTAATGAGCGTTTGCATGGCTTAAAGTTCAATATTTTTTCAAAATCCATTTAGTTTTGCGTCGAAACATGAATTGTTCACATCTTTCGCTAGCAATATTGCTATTTCTACTGGAGCTCTGCTTGCAAGTGAGTTACTAATGGGATGATGGTGCATTAATCTACGCATTTATAAATATATATACTCTGCTTTAGATCGATGGCTCCATTAAGTTTAGCAGCCTAGAATGCCAAGTCTTTACACCGGACGTGGGTGATATCAAGGAGTGTCGTATTGGTTCCACAAAGAAAGATATCAACATTATTTTTGATTGCAAGAAAACTATAAGCGCAGTATGTAATATAGAAAATTGGCAAACTACATTCTTATCATTGCTATCTTCAGTTCCAGATCAAGTTTAAGTTATTAAAGCGTGAAAATGGAACATGGCGACCTTTTCTATACGCAATGACAATAGATATCTGCGATTTCTTTCAGAATCCCAAAAAGTACATGATCCCAAACATGCTATATTCGTATATTAAAAAATCCTCAAACATTAATCATACCTGCCCGTATGAGGTGAGTAGCTACATACATACAAGTATATGAGCCGACATGCATTGCGCACAAATATCTACATATTGACTTTTTATCTGCTCATCGGACTACATCCAAAAGCATGCTATATTTAGTTTAATCGGATGTTTTCTTTAATTGCTTACTAGGCCGGCACTGAACTGGCATTGACGAAATGGAATTTGGATGAGTCCAACATTCTATCCAAGATGTCTGTGAATAGCGGCGAATATGCAATGCATTCTTCTTGGTACAGCAGCGAACAAATGGTATTACAAATAAATGGATCCGTAAAGTACACAGCTTAAAGGAGAGTTTTAAATAAATGTAATATTTGGTGGTGGGTATGGATCACAAAAGTTCAAAAATATGTACAACACCTAATCTGAATCACTTAATAAACCACATGTATGTACTATACTATAAAATATCTTAAACACTTAATAAACACATGAATATTCTATTTGAAGAATCTTAATTTTTTATATCTTTTAAAACGTAGGTTTAAATAAATATTTAAATTTACCAGCTTAGAAAGCAAATTATTGTAATATTGAATGATTTGTAACATAGTGTTATTATACGAGGTTCAATTTCCGAAAAATCATTTGTTTGTCAAAATTAAAGCTCTCTCTAGCTCAAATGGGGTGTGACTAGACCAGGTAAGTTAGTCAGAGAATGGTTTATAAGGTCAGCCACAGAAAAAGTCAATGTTGTCAATTCGAATCGACAGGCAGAAAAATCATTCTATACGTATCTACTTAAAACAACTATTTGCTTCATTACATAGCATTTTTCTTTATTTTATGCATACTATTTGGTATTAGACATTTGACTTATGCTAGGAAGATTAGAAATGAAATGCTTTGAACATATAATTCGACATTTCCATTGAGCAGCGGATAATTGCAGATGGCAAGGAAGGTATCTGTCGTCATATCCATCCCATACTACTTTAACTTATCATTTAAAGTTTTATGAAAGTTCATCAATTATATTCTCAAACGAGATTAATGGAGGAGCTCTATTCCATCTGATTTAATGTTTAAAGTGGCAGAGCTGTCCCTTCAACTTTAATCCATACATATGTTCAATTATGTGTTGTCCGACTTTGGGGGTTTTTATATCCTATTCGTCGATATTAGTTGTTGTAGGTCCGCTATCATTTTCATCGCCCTCGGACATATCAAATTCATCATCATCAAAGTCTATTATCTATGAGACAGACAAAATTATGGTAATCATGTGTTGTAAAATATTCAATATAACTACACACACCTCGCAATGCAAGCTCTTGAAGTCTGCAATGCCAGTTAATTCCTCTAAGTATCTAGCTGTTTCGAATGCTTTCAAAAGAAATGCATGGCCTTCACTGCGAAATGAGGCCAAAATGGGCTAAAAGTGAAATAATATTTTCATTCAGCATTTAATTGTACGCCTGCCACTTGACTTACCTGGGAGCATGCAATGCATTGGGAAAACTTTTCAGTGGCAGGCAAAATGTTCTCATAGTTGTACAGCAAGCCACGTATGGAGTGCGGCAAGATTCCAAGCAATCCCTCTGGAATTGCGGCAGTGCTCTCCACTTGCTGCCTCTTGTGGCTGCTCTGAGCATAGTAGGCGGGTGCCAACTCACGTTGTGGATGCTGCAGTAACGCCACCAGAAGCTCAACAGCGTAGCTGGCTGCTATATTGGAAACGCCGGGCCTTGTGACCGTGCATTGCTGATCGAGTGTACGATCTTTGAGAGACTTTAATGAAGAAGTGTTATTACATGTTGATTAAAAATCCTACCGTCGCAGTTCTCTACTAGAATTATCTGTACCATCATTTTATTGATGCGGTATCATTAAATTTAATTTAATATCGCTTACATTTCCTGGTGCGGTGACATCATTACAAAAATAGCAGCCTAGCTTTTGGCCCATAATGCACTTTAAACCTTCGATTTCATTTCCTTGATCGCCTACACATTCACGCGTGCTTCCATGACGCATTACAAGGTAGCTGTCGAACCCTAAGGCGGCGTTAATCACAATCTAACAAGTATATATTTTGCATAAAACTAGTATAAATTTAGATGGCAATCAAAAAATAGATAATTACCTTCTGATGCACTGCACCCAAAACCGTGGGCAACCAGCGGCTTTCTCTCGAATCTGTCAATAGAAACAAGACATCATGTGCATGCACCTGCTCCTCAATAAGCGTGAGATCATTAGTCGTTTGTTCGAGCATTGCCTCCCCTATAGTATGTCCTGGCATGGGTATTTGAACGACATAGCCTTTGGCCACCTGAAACGCGTATCAATATTATATAAGACATTTTTTTAAACTACTCGTACTACTCACCGCACTTGGATTTATCTCCAGCAATCTTTCTGCAGCAGTAGTTGACTTCATCTTATTACCCATTACAGCGTCTGCATGTGTGTAAAGATTTTGGCGGACAGGATTTGAGTAGCCTACCTTACCGCTGTCCAGAAGCGTAATGTGTTTAAAGCCCCAAGACTGTTTGTAGGAGTATGTACATATATAGGGAATATTAATAAAATCATTCTTCAGAATATGGACCACTAATACTTCAACGCACCAGTAAATTGCGGGCAACAGCGCATCCTAGGGTTCCAGCACCAAAGAGTAGACATTTAGTTTGCGCAATCGCCTCCAAATTAAGTTCTGGAAGCAGGCGCCATTTCATAAGCTTCAGATTCAAATTAACTGAGTTCTCGGCCAATCTATTAAGTTAGTATCATAATACAATACAGGGTATTCACCCAATATCAAAAGATGTCCACTTACTTAGCTGGATCCATGCTATCTCGCATGGAGACCATGCGCGGACCCATTTTACAATTACGATTAGGTTCCCAGCCCACAAATTTAACATTCTCTATCCGAGTTAAATCACACGCGTCATTTTGTACCACCTTCCAGATTAAGCTATTGTCCACATTCATTTGTTGATCATAGCGCAGACCAAGAAACTTGAGAGTTTTGCCTAAAAGTGTGGGACTAACTTGCCCGTCAAATAGTTGCTCTAAAGGAACATTAAGTGAACAATGAAAACAACATACCACTGCATCAGCAGAAAGGCCACATAGTTGCGCATAAGCCAAGCTGGGTGCTCGTACTCGCTGGGATCAGCAAAACAGTAATAATAATGCTCCGCTTCTGTATTATCGATATTTGTTAGCGCAGCGCTCAAGGAGCGCACCTCCACAGATTCGAGTTCCTCATTAGCATACAAGATGAAGAAATTTTGCGCTTCTGAGGGCACTGCACGCAACGCTTCAGCTACTGCCGCAAAGTTTTGCAAGTCTTTTACCCTGACAGCTTCGCTCTGCAATTGCAGTGGATGCGTCAGGGGACAGGGAAAACCAAACCAATAGTAATAGCTGTGGCATTTTAGATCCGCAAATGATAGCACAAAGAAACGCGCTAATAGACTAGGGTTGTCTAGGACGCGTGCGCTTGTCATATCAGCCAACAGTGCTTGACCCTCGGCAGACAATAGCGACGTTTTGTCCAGTTCCTTGAACTCTTCAATAGTGTTTTTGTTATAAATGGTGCCCACTGCATTATGACTAAATTTTGGTGGCTGCGCCGAGCTTTCAAATTAAATAAATGAATATCTCTACTGTGTTGGCCAAAACCAATTTTATACCTGTTATAAGCGCTGTAGTCAACCTCCAGTAAGCAGCCAGCGGCCTTGTGATTTGTATAATGACCAGATATTGGTTTTGGAGCATCCGAAAGACGGTCGTGTTCTATTTTTAGTTCGGCTAGCTTATGCCAAAATGTAGGACACACAAAAGACTCAAAGGCAGCAAACTGTAATATATTTTCTGTCATTTTACTTTAATAACAAAATCACTTTATTTTTCTGGTAAACAAAGAGATAATAACAAAACACCCTGACCACCAATATCAACCAATTCCGACAGCTGTTTGGGCGATAACCGACAGTTATCGATAAGTGGATTGAGGCGCGTAATCATGTTATTTAAGTTATTGATATGGGGATGTGATTATACTCCTCTGTACATGAAATGTACAAGAGTATATTAATCTTGCGCGAGCTGGAAAATGTAACTGGCAGAAGGAAGCTTGGCAGACCCCACAAAGTATATATGTATGTATATTCTTGATCAGCGTGACAAGACGAGTCGCCGTCTGTCCGTATGGACACCTGGATCTCAGAGACTACAAGAGCTAGAGACACCAAATGTTGCACAAAGATGCCTTATGTGGGTACGCTACACGAGTTTGTTTTATTTTTTTGATTTTCCTCCCCACTTCGCCCTTATATATGTATAATCACCTATATTTCGGAGACTATAAGAACTAAGGACTCAGAATTTTAGTCCCAGATGCCTTATGTGAATACGTAGAAAATGTGTATTTTGGAATTTCCTCTCTCCCTCGCAAACACTGATTTTCCATATTCCATATACCTTGAATTTTTTAATTGAAATTCAGCAAATCTGCCAGTTAGGGATTACGAGTCCGTGTGACAAGTTTCATTACAATAGGCCAATTTAACAGGAAGTTATAGCCATATATATAATCTCACGCCAAGCACTGCCTGCAGCTTAACGTGAGTTCAAATACCATGGAAGGTAAAATAGAACATTTTTGTTTAAAATTTTCTTAATTCTTTTAGTTTCTATAATTATTCTACATATATGTACAGAGTATTTCAAAGTCGGGACACCCGACTTTAGCTTCTCTACTTGTTTTATTGTAGAAAATATAAAACAGTTTAACAATAATGCAGACTCACAGGTGGAATAGCAATAGGCGAATTTAACAATTTAACAATCCAATTTGCTTGGATAGTTGTGCAAGGGCCGCTATGTGTTCCTCTGCAAAGATAGAAGAGGGAACATTATTCATTAACACTTTATTCAAAAAAAGTGTTGATGTTTAAATTAGACATTAATGTAAACGATTCACTTCTTTCATGCGTTCGAGTATTTCCGGTTTAATGGCAGCCGTTAGGATAAAGCCAGGCTTACGCCTCTTGACCACCAGATTATTTTCTTCGATAATGTTACAGGAAGCATTCTCACGCATCTCATTCTCGAATTTCAGAGAGAAATGCACGAACATGGGAGCTGTTCTCATGAATTTGTATAGCACGCGCTTGCGTAAGTCCTCAGTCTTTACCACGCGGGTGCTATACTTGTAATGGAATTCATCCAGATTATGCAGTAAAAATTTTAAGTCGACGAGTAAGCTGGTCGTGCAATGTGGGAAGAGCGCGTGCAATAGGGGCCCATAAATATTACATCGCTGGCCACTTAGCTCGATAACCGCCTCCTGATACATTTTCCCTAATCCATTGCTGTTCAGATTATATTGGCTCATGTGCGATAATGTTAGCGATTTAACAAAAATGAAACTCTTCAAATTGCGGAACAACACAACAGTGCTTGGGGAAGGCTGCAGTGGTATGGGGTTTACCACCTGATCGATTTCATCATTTACTACATTATCCGTCGCAATATCAATTACCTTTCGCGATGGGTCCATTTGTTCCCCTAAAGCAACTCTTATCTGCGTCGAATCGAATATCGAATTATCAGTTGCCAAAACCTGTGAAACTGTAATGGTTGGTTGCAATGGTGGCTGTTGTGGCTGGTCATTTGGAAGTGGAGCAGCTGGGATTGAGCGTTTAGCTACGGGAAAAAGTTGGGTTTCGACATTGGTGGTACATTATTAAGCGCAAGTTTTGGCTTCTTACCCGAAGTTTGCGCTAACGCTGGACGAGTGAATATGGGTCCATTTGGTAATTGGTTAGCCGATGCAACACAGTGTTCTGCAGCGGAAGCATTGAAAGCTTCTACTTCCCCAGTTTTCAATATGTCCGTTGTTGCTTGCCGCACAATATTTGCAGAATTCTGTTGGACCTCTCCCGCAGTAGATTCATTATCATCAACCAACATTGACGTGTGATCAGGAATATCTACACAGGCGTTCGGCAATGTGCAGTCACGACCTTTTGGTATTTCAAAACATTGCAATTCTCCACCCGAATTGTCTGATTCGCCGTCAATGATTATGATATTCTCCTCCGAGTTAATTCTTTCACAATCGTAATCGTCGCTTTCACTGTTGTTTAAATCAAAGCGCAACTTATCCAGGCATTTAATTGGCTCTTGCTTGATCTGTTGGCCACATTGGGCAGTAAGTTTAGCAGCTGGCATGGGACTTTCATTTGAAATATTGTGCACTGCCGTAGGGGCCTCTGCGCCAGTAGTATTTTCAATGTGGGAGGAATCAAGTTGAGTAGGCGGACATATAGAAATTCCCATTTGTGGATCGGTTGATGTTAACAAAGCTGCATTCGATGTCTCCCGTACCACAGTTTCGCCACTAGAATCGACTGGAAAAAGGTCCGGTGAGCAAGCAACAGTAGCAACAGCTGGTGAATATTTAAAAATAATTATAAGTTAATCAAATTGTATCATTAAAATGCCGCAGTCATATTTACCCTTATTAACAGTAGGTGCGCTATCAACAACATGAAGGGAAGGTTCGCTTTCAATTAGAGTGTGAGAATGCAAGTGAGCCGACGCTGGCACATGGGAAGCTGTCAATGGATAGGTGTTTGTATTCGTTAATATATAAACATTTATAAAGTTACAAGATAAGAAATGTGATTTTTAAAAAGAGTGGAATGGTACAATCGCGGTGACCGGCTTCTATACGCGCTGTGCCTGATTCAGCAATTAATAAAGTAATTACTTTTATTCATTTTTATACCTCATACCCTAAAAAGTTATACTAGTTTAGTGCGAATATATATATGTAACATACAGAAGGAGAAGCGGCAAACCCCCCAAACTGTACTATATATATTCTTGATCAGCATGACAAGACGTCTTCTTCTAGGTATCTCAAAAACTGAAGGTCTACATAATACCCTTTTTCTCTTCGGGCATACAATCTGGAATTAGCGTACTTACGTTCTTCAGCAGACGTTGGTAAGTCACTTACAGCTGCAGGAGATTTTACTAAAACGTTAAAAATTGTGATATTTAATGCTAAGATCCTCAGATACTAAGAATGGAATCAATTGTACATACCAGCCATCAACGGACTCTCTGTAATTTTTGGAACTTGGTGTATCCATTGATTATGGAGCCAACACTGAGTGTACAGCTTTTCCATTTCTTTGAGTAAGCTCACATAATCTTCGATTTTCTTGGAAGTTTGATAAGAATAGTGAGACTCGACTATTTCTTCAAAGTTCGTGTAAAGCTGCAGTTCAGACCAATGCAGAATTTTTGGCGAAATGTGCTCAAATTCATAAAGTGGCATTTCTATGCCTTTGGCTTGTAGGAGTTGGCGGAACGTTTCCATTTTCACATACAAATTTAAAGGCCAACAACCGTTTTCAATGACGTGCTTATAGCAAAGCGTTAAGATGTTATTATTCTCGTAGAATTCCTGTGCATTATATATGCCTGTATGAGCTCTAAACTCCTCAAGGCTCAGCTTCGAGAGTATGTGCCAAATATGCATTGCTCGACCGTGCGTATTATGGAGCAGGTACTGAATTGTGTGTTCCTAAGTGGCAAAATAAAGTGAACATTTTATACATAGCAACTAACAACTTTGTAATATTCTAAGTCTACTTAAGTATACATTTTTACGCAGTACCGCATAAACTTTAAATTGTGTAGGTTATCTATCTATCGACTACTGGCAAATACAAATAATCTTACCACACTATTGTCAGCAAAAAATTGATCTTCAGCGTTTTTAAGCTCTTCCCGCTTATCAAAGGTGCTTAAAAAATACTTTTCCACTTCAAGACTTTTTTGCGGACATTTCAGCTTACAAGTTATGTATTCCCGCAAATTTGTTGGCACAAAATTCATGACGTTTTGTTTAGTTTTGCTACAAGAATAATTAAAAGTTCTTAATAAGCCGCGATTTTTATTTATTTTAACTTTAAAGTTTCTTACCTTTTGAGCGCTGTACGCTCAGGTGTCGTCATTGGCCCTTCATCGACGCAGTTATCGGTTGTCTGCGTTGGGAAAGTATTAGTAACAACTACAGGAATAGGCAGTGACATGTTTCCGGTATTTGGCTTTGGATCAACCATTGTCAATCCTTCAATTTCAACTACATTTTCCAGTCGAATGGCCATGGCATTTAAACTGGTTTGCAACGTTTTCGGTGCTCTATTAAAATTGTATTTAAATTGACAGCGAATTTCGACATTTATGTAGAAAGAATAATAGAAATCTTTTAGCAAATTTAGGCACATCTCTTTATCAGCCAATGTTGCTGTGGAATTTGAGCTACAGAGCGACAGTTCAACAATCAGTTCATCGTAGTTAATATATTTCTGGAATGTTTGAAACGGAACTGGAAACTCGTAATGAATGTTCTCTATGGATATCACTATTGGTTCGTTTTGTATAAGAGGAGCAAGGTCTGTATTATTCTGAGGCGAGTCGGGTGTGTCATCCAAAGATTTGAATTGTTCCACGTTACTTGCCATTGTAAGGAGATTTTTACGTATTTTGGAAGGACATGGCTTTAATTTTATATTGTACTTGTTACGTATTTTCGAATCCGTATAAAAAGCTCTGTAATACTTTTGCGCACATTCTTCGCTGGTCATACCGCTGTACTCTTTAGAACACAACATTTTGTCCACAATATCTGGCAGATTTAGAATGTGCCGACTAAAAGCCCTATAGTTCACAGGAAGTGGTCTGCGAACAAATAAGATTTTACTAAAAATTGAGAAATTAATTGGTTCATAAATAGTTTCTTACGCTTCTTGGATTGAATAGGAGTTTAGGTCTGTTTCTGTTGAGGTTTGTTGCGGCTCAACAATCTGATTGGGACTTAATAAATTCAATGCCTTCTCGATGTCTTCTTGAGTTTTTCTAAATAAATAATCAAAAGTTCTTTTTACATATTTTAATTATTTTTTAAGTTTTTACCTAATGTGCTCTTTGGGTATAACTATTTCTTCTCGTTGTATAAGGGATGCAATATCTGCATTATTTTGAGGCGATTTCGGTGGGTCATCCAAAGGTTTCAATTGCTCCACGTTACTTGCCACAGCAAGGAGATTATTGCGTATTTTGGAAGGACAGGGCTTCAGTTTGTATTTATACTTTTTACGTATTTTCGAATCCGTATAAAAAGCTCTGTAATACTTTTTCGCACATTCTTCCTTGCTCATACCGCTGTACTCATTAGAACACAACATACTGTTTACTATTTCTGGCAGATTGAGAATATGTCGACTAAAAACCTTATAGTTCACAGGTAGTAGTCTGCAAATAAATTAGATATTACTAAAAATTAACAATTATATTAGTTCATAGTTTCTTACGATTTTTGGATTGAATAGGCGTTTAGATCTGTTTGTGTTGACGTTTTTTGCGGTTCAACAATCTGATTGGGACTCAATAAATTCAATGCCTTCACGGCGGTTAGTTTAGTGTTGCTACACGAATAATTAAAAGTTCTTAATAAGCACATCTTTTTTTTATTTTAACTTCAAAGTTTCTTACCTTTTGAGCGCATGTTTTTCGGTATTCAATAAATTTGTTGCTATACCCTCAGTTGACAACATTGTCCCTTCATCGAAAGAGCTCCCGATTGTCCGCCTTGGAAAAGTTTTAGTAAAAACCGCAGGAATAGAGCGTGGCATGATGCCAGTATTTGGCTTCGGATCAACCATTGTCAATCCTTCAATTTCATCTACTTTATTAAGTTGAACCGCCATGGCATTTAAATTTATTTGCAAGTATTTTGGAGCTTTTTTGAAATTGTATTTAAACTGAGAGCGAATTTCGCCATTTATGTAGAAGGAATAATAGAAATCTTTTAGTAAATTTAGGCACATTTCTTTATCAGCCAATGTTGCTGTGGAATTTGAGCTACAGAGCGCAAGTTCAACAATTAGTTCATCGTAGTTAATATATTTCTGGAATGTTTGAAACGAAACTGGGAACTCGTAAAGAATGTTCCCTATGGGTATAACTATTTGTATGCGTTGTATAAGGGATGCAATATCTGCATTATTTTGAGGCGATTCGGGTGTGTCATTCAAAGGTTTCAATTGCTTCACGTTACTTGCCATAGCAAGGAAATTATTGCGTATTTTGGAAGGACAGGGCTTCAGTTTGTATTTGTACTTTTTACGCATTTTCGAATCCGTATAAAAAGCTCTGTAATACTTTTTTGCGCATTCTTCCTTGCTCATACCGCTATATTCCTCAGAACACAACATATTGTCCACAATATCTGGCAGATTGAGTATGTGCCGACTAAAATCCGTAAAGTTCACAGGTAACACACTGCAAATAAAATAGATAACCCAAAAATTAAGAAATAAATTAATTCATAAATAGGGCTTTAGGTCTGTTTCTGAAAGGATCTTTTGAGGTTCAATGTTTCCATGACGTTTTGAAAGGTTTTGCTACACGGATAATTATATGGTTTCGTTAAAAACAGATTTGTACATATTTTAACTTGAAAGTTACTTACGTATTGGCTATAACTATTTGTTCGCTTTGTATAAGGGATGCAATATCCGTATCTTTTTTAGGCGAGTCAGGCGCGTCATCCAAAGGTTTTAAATCTTCCACATTACTTGCAATGGCAAGAAGAGTTTCACGTATTTTAGAAGGACAGGGCTTTAATTTGTATTTGTACTTTTTACGTATATTTGAATCCGTATAAAAAGCTCTGTAATACTTTTTTGCACATTCTTCCCTGCTCATACCGCTGCATTCTTTAGAACACAACATTTTGTCCACAATATCTGGCAGATTGAGAATATACCGACTAAAATCCTTAAAGTTCACGGGTAGTGGTCTGCCAATAAAATATATATTACTAAAAAATAAGAAATGAATTAATTCATAAATTGCGTCTTACGATTTTTGGATTGAATACGCGTTTAGATCTGTTTCTGTTGAGGTTTGGTGCGGTTCAACAATCTGATTTGGACTCAATAAGTCCAATGTTTTCCCGAGGTTCTGATTTGTTTCCCTACACGAAGAATAAGGTCTTAGTAAAAATAGATTTGTATATATTTTAACTTGAAAGTCTTTACCTAATGTTCTTTTTTGATATAACTATTTGTTCCCTTTGTATACGGGATGCATTATCCTTATTTTTTTGGGGCGAGCCTATTGAGTCACCCAAGGGCTTAGTTTGTTTTATGCTACTTGCTATGGCAAGGAGATTTCTACGTATTTTTGAAGGACAGGGCTTTAGTTTGTATTTGTACTTTTGGCGCATTTTCGGATCCGTATAAAAAGCTTTGTAATACTTTTGCGAGCATTCTTTCCTGCTCATACCGCTGTATTCTTTAGAACACAACATTTTGTCCACAATATCTGGCAGATTTAGAATGTGCCGACTAAAAGCCCTATAGCTCACAGGAAGTGGCCTGCAAACAAATAAGATATTACTAAAAATTAAGAAATTAATTGGTTCATAAATAGTTTCTTACAGTTCTTGGATTGAATATGCGTTTGGATAAGTTTCTGTTGTCGTTTTTTGCGGTTCAACAATCTGATTTGGACTCAATAAATTCAATGCCTTCTCGACGTCTTGATTTTTTCTACATGAATAATTATAAGTTCTTAATAAACACAGATTATTATTTATTTTAAATTGAAAGTTTTTACCTAATTTTCTTTTTGGGTACAACTATTTGTTCACTTTGTATACGGGATGCAACATCTGTATCTTCCTGAGGTAAGTCGACTGGGTCATCCAAAGCATTTAATTTTGCCACTTTACTTGCCATGGCAAGGAGATTTCTACGTATTTTAGAAGGACAGGGCTTAAGTTTAACTTTGTACCTTTTACGTATTTTCGAATCCGTATAAAAAGCTTTATAATACTTTTTTGCGCATTCTTCCTTGCTCATACAGCTATATTCCTTAGAACACAACATATTGTCCACAATATCTGGCAGATTCAGTATGTGCCGACTAAAATTCTTAAAGTTCACAGGTAACAAACTGCAAATAAAATAGATATTATCAAAAATTAAGAAATAAATAAATTCAATTTACGATTCTTGGATTGAATAGCCGTTTAGGTCTGTTTCTGTTGAAGGTTTTGGACGTTCAAAAGTCTGATTTGAGCTGAATATTTTCAGTGCCTTTTCATTAAGGGGTTCAGCTAGGCTCAATAAGCGCTGTTTTAACACTGCATTATCTGTTTTAAAATGATAATTATATTGCTGGCGCCTGTCCGGATACACGTAAAAAGAGCGATAGAAGCGTAAGAACTGCCAATCACATTGTTTGGGGCAATTCATCATCGCGGCTGCTTTTGATTCGTCTTGTGCAGCTTTCATTAATATTGGTCTTATGAGCTCATCATAGTTAATATGTCGTTTGAATGTCTCTAAAGAAACTGGAAATTTAAAACGAGCTCCTCTGAGGATCGAAAAAAAGCAAGCGTTATATGGTTACATTATTCATAATATATACGGTTTTACATACCTGATATCCTGAATATTATATTTGAGTTCGTTTAGCTCGCTGGTGGTGACCACTTTTGCAGAGGCCATTGTGGATTTCTCTACCTACGCAGCGAATATTGTATTCCTCTTAATATCACCAAACGGTTATCCTATGTAGTAGGGAAAATGTTAGTTTTCTTGAATCTTAACTAGAACATCCAACGCTATAAAATATTCAATACAGGCGTTGTTTTAATTTTAGTTTAAAATACTTGCCACAGATGAATATATTTGGTCAGAACTGTCGTGATCCACAGCGCTGGAAATGTTGAGCTAATTGTTGCACAAAAATGCGAATATAACAAGCAGAACAGCTGTGATAGTGATAGGAGCATTATATCGAACTATCGATAAAGTCAACGTATTTACAAATTCAATAATGTTAAATACTCATGAACCTTTTTGTGTGCTGGTTTAAAATTTTTGTTAGATAATTCTTTAAAAAAAAAAGGAAGCAATACAGCGTTTCTGCGCCAGTACAAAATATCTTCTCTCAGTTGCAGGACGCCTTTCGATTCCCAACACTTCTTCGGGTTATCGATTTGTGTATATGTACATATGTATGTGTGTATGTACACACAGTGGCTCACAGATTATTTCGTGCAGGCACAAAAAAACTTTGAAATATAATAAATATGACTGATATCGTTGAAATTGAAAATTAAATTAAATGAAAATTTTAGGTTACTATGAGGTTATTTTAAAAGAAACTGTATTATAGATAATTAACTTTAAAAAACAGAAAGAACAATAAAATCTATATCTTTTTATGACATGTAGTTTATTTCGTGCGCTGCCTAATGCCCTAAAAAAGTATTTTAAATAGATTTAAGATTTTGTATGAGCACCATTTAGTAAGTCAACAACTTGTAACTTGTATTTCTAAAATTCTATCATCAGAGTTTGTTTAAAGTCATTTTATTCGAAATTTGTCATCTGCAAATAGGCAATTTAAAAACGTTAATCGTTGTGTTCCATGAGCAATTTATAATTAAATTATAATTTACTTTCGAATAATCTTAAATGAATATAACTGAACGGAGCGATTGAAAGTTATTTGCTGTTTAATCATATCATAACAAATGTCTTGATTGAGGAACCTTTGCTTTGTTCTCTAACAGCAATCGGAATAATGAAAATATATAATTCCATTAGTAACACCGGTGTTTTGAAAGTAGACCCCTAAAACCCCCTGACTTATGAAGACTTGAAGGTGGATAGCACTAGCAAGCTCGGTACCACCCTTAGAAGAGCAAGAACCAAAATCAAGTCAAACAGGACAGCAAATGATATTCTCAATCTGAAAGGTGTTGTGGGCAAAATGTTTGTTCTAAAGAATACAGTGGTATAAGTAGGAAAAGTGCACTATTAAGTATTATAGGACCATGTGTTGATAATTTTGTTTTGTATTTAATAAATTAAATTTTTTTAATCATTTTAAAAATATTTTAAATTTATTTTCTTCAGATTTGCGAACAAGGTATATTAGGGTTAGGCATCTAGCTTTTGAATCTTGGTGTGCGAGTCATTCAGATATTCCATTTTAGTTTAATAACAACAATCACTAAACTAAACTTACATATATGTACATATGTATATAACAGGTGGAATAGCTATTTTATTTGTTAAAGGGCCGCTATGTGTTCTTCTGCAAAGATAGAAGAGGAAACATTATTCAATAATATTTTATTTAACAAATGTGTTGATGCTTAAATTTAGACATTAAAGTAAACGATTCACTTCTTTCATGCGTTCGAGTATTTCCGGTTTAATGGCAGCCGTTAGGCTAAAGCCAGGCTTGCGCCTCTTGACCACCAGATTATGTTCTTCGATAATGTTACAGGAAGCATTCTCACGCATCTCATTCTCGAATTTCAGAGAGAAATGCACGAACATGGGAGCTGTTCGCATGAATTTGTATAGCACGCGCTTGCGTAAGTCCTCAGTCTTTACCACGCGGGTGCTATACTTGTAATGGAATTCATCCAGATTATGCAGTAAAAATTTTAAGTCGACGAGTAAGCTGGTCGTGCAATGTGGGAAGAGCGCGTGCAATAGGGGCCCATAAATATTACATCGCTGGCCACTTAGCTCGATGACCGCCTCCTGATACATTTTCCCTAGTCCATTGCTGTTCAGATTATATTGGCTCATGTGCGATAATGTTAGCGATTTAACAAAAATGAAACTCTTCAAATTGCGGAACAACACAACAGTGCTTGGGGAAGGCTGCAGTGGTATGGGGTTTACCACCTGATCGATTTCATCATTTACTACATTATCCGTCGCAATATCAATTACCTTTCGCGATGGGTCCATTTGTTCCCCTAAAGCAACTCTTATCTGCGTCGAATCGAATATCGAATTATCAGTTGCCAAAACCTGTGAAACTGTAATGGTTGGTTGTAATGGTGGCTGTTGTGACTGCTCATTTGGCGGAGAAGGAGCTGGGTTTGAGCCTTCACTTAAGGTTTCGATGCGGCAGATTTCGTTTAAGGGCAAGGGACGAAACTCATGTTTTGGCTGAGGTACATTATCAAGCGCAAGTTTTCGTTTCCTTCCCGAAGTTCGCGCTAACGCTGGACGAGTGAATAAGGGTCCTTTTGGTAATTGGATAGCCAATGCAACACACTGATCTGCAGCCGAACCATTGAAAGCTTCGCCTTTACTGTTGTTCAAATCAAAGCGCAACTTATCCAGGCATTTAATTGGCTCTTGCTTAATCAGTTGTGCAATAAGTTTTGCAACTGGCCTGGGACTTTCATTTTGAATATTGTGTACTGCCGTAGTGGCAGCTGGTGAATATTTAAAAATTATTGTTTATAAAATTTCATCATTAAAAAGCCGCAGTCATATTTACCCTTATCAACTGTGGGTGCGCTATCAACAACATGAAGGGAAGGGTCGCTTTTCATTAGTGTGGGTGAACACAAAGGTGGCGCCGCTGGTACATGCGAAGCTGTCAACGGATCAGAGATTGCAGTCGTCATAATATAAAGTGGGTTTTAAAACTTCAGTGAAAAATATACATAAAATATATATGAAAGTCAATACCAGCTTTACCTAGATCTTGCAGACTATAAGAGCTAGGAACATTAAATGCTGGTAAAAGGTTCCGTATATGAATCGGCAGGGCAAGTCTATTTCAAAATTGTTCTCCCTCTCCCCGCTCCCTTCCAATTTTCTAATCAATTTGGCAATTGTTAGTGCTGCTCGACTCTGTACTGCACACATGCTCACACACAGGACACGCAAAGATAATTAGACACAATTCTGATGTATGTATGAGTTCGAGTCGCAAGGAAGGTGTAATCGATCGAAACAATTTCTTTTAACAATTTCGCCTCTTTTTTTAAATTTTTTTGATTTCTTTCAATTTATATATTTGTTCTACACATGGTACAGAGTATTTCCACTTCTTTTCACTGGTTTTTATTTAATTAATTTTTTTTAAAGCAATTAATTAATTAATTAATTTTTATAAATATTTTAAAACATTGAGCCCACTACACTCTTAGCATTCTTTTATTGTTAATAATAAGAATGCTTTAATTGTACATACCAGCCACCATCATCACGTTCTCTGTAATTTTTGGAACTTGGTGTATCCATTGATTATGGAGCCAACACTGAGAGTACAGCTTTTCCTTTTCATTGAGTAGACTCACAGAATCTTTGATTACTTTGGAAGTTTGATAAGAATAGTTCGATGCGACTATTTCGTCAAAGTTCGTATAAAGCTGCAGTTCAGACCAATGCAGAATTTTTGGCGAAATGTGCTCAAATTCGTAAAGTGGCATTTCTATGCCTTTGGTTTGTAGGAGTTGGCGGAACGTTTCCATTTTCACATACAAATTTAAAGGCCAACAACCGTTTTCAATGACGTGCTTATAGCAAAGCGTTAAGATGTTATTATTCTCGTAGAATTCCTGTGCATTATATATGCCTGTATGAGCTCTAAACTCCTCAATGCTCAGTTTAGAGAGTATGTGCCAAATATACATTGCTCGACCGTGCGTATTATGGAGCAGGTACTGAATTGTGTGTTCCTAAGTGACAAAATAAAGTGAACATTTTATACATAGCAACTAACAACTTTGTAATATTCTAAGTCTACTTAAGTATACATTTTTACGCAGTACCGCATAAACTTTAAATTGTGTAGGTTATCTATGTCTCCGAATCGACTGCTGGCAAATACAAATAATCTTACCACACTATTGTCAGCAAAAAATTGATCTTCAGCGTTTTTGAGCTCTTCCCGCTTATCAAAGGTGCTTAAAAAATACTGTTCCAATTCAAGACTTTTTTGCGGGCACTTTAGCTTACGAGTTATGTAATTTTTTGGCACAAAATTCACGACGTTTAGCTTAGTTTTGCTACATAAATAATTAAAAGTTTTTAATAAGCATTATTTATTTTAACTTTAAAGTTTCTTACCTTTTGAGCGCTATACCCTCAGGTGATTTTAATTGTTCCACGTTACTAAACATGGCAAGGAGATTTCCACGTACTTTGGAAGGACAGGGCTTCAATTTTATATTGTACTTGTTACGTATTTTCGAATCCGTATAAAAAGCTCTGTAAAACGTTTGCGCACATTCTTCCCTGCTCATACCGTTGTATTCTTTAGAACACAACATTTTGTCCACAATATCTGGCAGATTGAGAATATGCCGACTAAAAGCTTTATAGCTTACAGGGAGTGGTCTGCAAATAAATTAGATATTATTAAAAATAACAATAAAATTGGATTCATAAATAGTTTCTTACGCTTCTTGGATTGAATAGGGATTTAGGTCTGCATCTGTTAAGGTTTTTTGCGGTTCAACAATCTGATTTGAGCTGAATAACTTCAATGCTTTTTCATTAAGGGGTTCGGCTAAGCTCAATAAGCGCTCTTTCAACACTGCATTATCTGTTTTAAAATGATAATTATATTGCTGGCGCCTGTCCGGATACACGTAAAAAGAGCGATAGAAGCGTAAGAACTGCCAATCACATTGTTTGGGGCAATTCAACATCGCGGATGCTTTTGATTCGTCTTGTGCAGCTTTCATTAATATTGGTCTTATGAGCTCATCATAGTTAATATGTCTTCTAAATATCTCTAAAGAAACTGGAAATTTAAAGCGAGCTCCTCTGAGGATCGAAAAATGCAAGCGATATATGGTTACATTATTCAGAATATAAACGGTTTTACATACCTGATATCCTGAATAGCATATTCGAGTTCGTTTTGCTCGCTGGTGGTGACCATTTTTGTGGAAGCCGCTGCCGTGGTGGATTTCTCTACCTCGTCAGGCAATGTATTCCTTTGAATGTTATCAAATACAGCCGCTGGATTAACAACGGATTCCAAAAAAGTAATTAAATCATACACTAGAGAAGAGGTCAAAAATTCGTTTGTTTTAATTTTAATTTAACTTACTTGGTAGAGATCGATTTATTTGGCCAGAACTATCGCGTTTGGGAAATTTAACTTCAAATTCATCAAAAAAATTGCGGACACCGGCATTGCTTTGTCGCAGCGTCAGAACTTCCACCGCGCTGGGAATGTAGAGTAATCGTGTCCTTAACGATTCAGTACAATCAGCGGTGAACTCAAAAGGTAACTTATTTCTTATATCTGGTGTTATGTAAAACGCAAAATATAGTGTACGTGCACATTCTTCAAATCCTTTACATTCAAACATGCGATTATACAGCTTTAGCTTCCACACAATGTTATATAAGTTTCCTATTGACTTTTCGAATAGGGCAAATTCAACTAATGGACCCAAACTGTGGATGTAACGGGTATGTAAGAATAATATATATATAAGTACATACTACAAGTATATATAAAACCAGTAAAATACTCTCTCCGTGTAGTATAATTATATAAATTTAAAAAATTAGAAAAATTTAAAAGAAAGAGTAGGCAATATTGTAATAATAAATTTTTTTGATCGATTATAGCCCTGCTTTTGGAGTCAAACTCACATAAAGGGTACATCCACATTGGAAATGTGCCTGTCTGTCTGTGAATATGTGTGCAATACAGATTTGAGCCAAAACAGAGCGTTCACATTTTTTTTTTTTTTTTATTTCCTTTGTACTCCACTTGGGAGCTTAGGGCTACTACAAGGACATTTTTTCCAATCTTAACACTCTAACTTCTAGCCGTCTGTCTGGCTGTGTCCTATGTGGTGTTGTTGTTTCTGGGAGAATTCCTGATGCATCCGCCGCCAGGTTGCCGTCTTTTTTAGGTCTGGGCATCTATGTACATACATATGTATGTGCAAAATTTGGTTTCTTCAGCTCTTATAGTCTGTTACACCGAGGTGTTCATACGGACAGACAAACAGACATGACTATATCGACTCGTCTTGTCATACTTCCACATCTCCTGTGCGTTACATACATTCGCACAAAACTAGTATACCCTTTAATCCTCGACTACAGGGTATAAATATTGTGCTATAGGTTTAAAGAGATCTTCAGATCAACGCATTTTATGGGCAACTAAAGAAAATACACAACATACATATGTACATAATATGCGACTACTCACCCGTCTTCTTTCATATTCGCGTTGCTTTCGACAGACATGTTGGACAAGATTGACAGATTAGCATTCACAAATAAATAAAATATATTATTTTTACACTAACGTCAGCTATTTCTGACGTATGGGGCTTCACTGAAGTCTAAATTTCTGGTAATTTGGAGTGTGGGTCCGCAGGGCAACACTGTATTTGTGTATTAGGTAGAAGAAATCGTAATATTTTCGCCCGAATCTTTTGACATGTGGACTTATAAGCAAATATTTTAATACGCATTTGTACACGAAGGCAGCAATTTTTTCTCATACAACTAATTCTCAAACACTTCCAATGTAATAAGCGTACTTTTCTAAAAAAAAAAAAAAAAAACTATGTATATAAAAGCAATTAATTTAAAATGGGTCAATGACCTCTCCACTGAGGCCAAACAAGTCATTAGTTCTGACCATCTTATCTGTCATTAGTTTGATCATTTGGAACGGGCGCTAACCGCCTCCACTGTCTTTATCCAGGAACATGAAGCAATGTCTTGTAGATTTTCGATTAATTTACTAAAATAGTCAAAAAGTTTTAAGTGGATGTCTAAAAGCATTTATTTAAGACAAGCTAGAATGACCAAATATGCTATCCAGATTCTCCTAACACCCAACAAGTGCAGGTTTGAGATCTGGATACATAACCCCCAACCACCAACTGTACATTTACAAACACAAAAAGGCACTCATAGACACAAAAAGATGTAAATTAATGCTATTCAAACTGTACATAAGCATAAGTCTCTGTGTTGATAATTTTATTTAATTTAATTTTAAACATAATTTAATGGTTACGAGCATTCTTTTGTACATATCTATAAAAGCATTCAAGGTATGCCATTTTATTTTAATAAATACAATCACTATATGTAGTAAAACAGTTAAACAACAATGCAGACGGACAGGTGGAATAGTTATGTTTGCTTGGATAATTGTATAAGGGCCGCTATGTGTTCCTCTGCAAAGATAGAAGAGGGAACATTATTCAATAACATTTATTTCACAAACGTGTTGATGCTTAACTTTAGACATTAAAGTAAACGATTCACTTCTTTCATGCGTTCGAGTATTTCCGGTTTAATGGCAGCCGTTAGGCTAAAGCCAGGCTTGCGCCTCCTGACCACCAGATTATTTTCTTCGATAATGTTACAGGAAGCATTCTCACGCATCTCATTCTCGAATTTCAGAGAGAAATGCACGAACATGGGAGCTGTTCTCATGAATTTGTATAGCACGCGCTTGCGTAAGTCCTCAGTCTTTACCACGCGGGTGCTATACTTGTAATGGAATTCATCCAGATTATGCAGTAAAAATTTTAAGTCGACGAGTAAGCTGGTCGTGCAATGTGGGAAGAGCGCGTGCAATAGGGGCCCATAAATATTACATCGCTGGCCACTTAGCTCGATGACCGCCTCCTGATACATTTTCCCTAGTCCATTGCTGTTCAGATTATATTGGCTCATGTGCGATAATGTTAGCGATTTAACAAAAATGAAACTCTTCAAATTGCGGAACAACACAACAGTGCTTGGGGAAGGCTGCAGTGGTATGGGGTTTACCACCTGATCGATTTCATCATTTACTATATTATCCGTCGCAATATCAATTACCTTTCGCGATGCGTCCATTTGTTCCCCTAAAGCCACTCTTATCTGCGTCGAATCGAATATCGAATTATCAGTTGCCAAAACCTGCGAAACAGTAATGGTTGGTTGTAATGGTGGCTGTTGTGACTGCTCATTTGGCGGAGAAGGAGCTGGGCTTGAGCCTTCAATTAAGGTTTCGATGCGGCAGATTGCGTTTAAAGGCAAGGGTCGAAACTCATGTCTTAGCTGAGGTACATTATCAAGCGCAAGTTTTCGTTTCCTTCCCGAAGTTCGCGCTAACGCTGGACGAGTGAATAAGGGTCCTTTTGGTAATTGGATAGCCAATGCAACACGCTGATCTGCAGCCGAAGCCTTGAAAGCTTCCAGTTCTCCAGTTTTCAATAAGTCCGTTTTTGCTTGCTCCACAATATTTGCAGAATTCTGTTGAACCTCTCCCGACGTAGATTCATTATCATCAACCAACATTGAAGTGTGATCAGGAATATCTACACAGGCGTTCGGCAATGTGCAGTCACGACCTTTTGGTATTTCAAAACATTGCAATTCTCCACCCGAATTGTCTGATTCGCCGTCAATGATTATGATATTCTCCTCCGAGTTAATTCTTTCACAATCGTAATCGTCGCTTTCACTGTTGTTTAAATCAAAGCGCAACTTATCCAGGCATTTAATTGGCTCTTGCTTAATCTGTTGGCCACATTGGGCAGTAAGTTTATCAACTGGCATGGGACTTTCATTTGGAATATTGTGCACTGCCGTAGTGGCCTCTGCGCCAGTAGTATTTACAATTCGGGAGGAATCAAGTTGAGTAGGCGGACATATAGAAATTCCCATTTGTGGATCGGTTGATGTTAACAAAGCTGCATTCGATGTCTCCCGTACCACTGTTTCGCCACTAGAATCGACTGGAAAAAGGTCCGGTGAGCAAGCAATAGTAGCAACAGCTGGTGGATATTTAAAAATTATTGTTTATAAAATTTCATCATTAAAAAGCCGCAGTCATATTTACCCTTATCAACTGTAGGTGCGCTATCAACAACATGAAGGGAAGGTTCGCTTTTCATTAGTGTGGGTGAACACAAGGGAGGCGCCGCTGGTACATGCGAAGCTGTCAACGGATCATAGATTGCAGTCGTCATTATATAAAGCTGTTCTATAAACAGTTAAAGAAGACATTTGCCCTTATATACGCTGTGCCCGATTCGGTAATCGATTAAATTTTCATTTAAAATTTTTTAAAATGTTAGTGAAATATAATACATAAAATATATCCGAAAGTATATAGCGTGTATATATGTATGTATGTATCTAAAATGTGTTATAGATATGATTCAACCCAACAAATAGATACAACTTGTCAAACTTAAATACTTGTATATGGAAGTCAATACCAGCTTTACCTAGATCTTGCAGACTATAAGAGCTAGGAACATTAAATTCTGCTAAAAGGTTCCGTATATAAATAGGCAGGGCAAGTCTATTTCAAAATTGTTCTCCCTCTCCCCGCTCCCTTCCAATTTTCTAATCAATTTGGCAATTGTTAGTGCTGCTCGACTCTGTACTGCACACATGCTCACACACAGGACACCAAAAGATAATTAGACACAATTCTGATGTATGTGTGCTGACGACATACACCCTTCACGTGAGTTCGAGTCGCAAGGAAGGTGTAATCGATCGAAACAATTTCTTTTAACAATTTCGCCTCCTTTTTTAAATTTTTTTGATTTCTTTCAATTTATATATTTGTTCTACACATGGTACAGAGTATTTCCACTTCTTTTCACTGGTTTTTATTTAATTAATTTTTTTTAAAGCAATTAATTTTTATAAATATTTTAAAACATTGAGCCCACTACACTCTTAGCATTCTTTTATTGTTAATAATAAGAATGCTTTAATTGTACATACCAGCCACCATCATCACGGTCTCTGTAATTTTTGGAACTTGGTGTATCCATTGATTATGGAGCCAACACTGAGAGTACAGCTTTTCCTTTTCATTGAGTAGACCCACAGAATCTTTGATTACCTTGGAAGTTTGATAAGAATAATTCGATGCGACTATTTCGTCAAAGTTCGTATAAAGCTGCAGTTCAGACCAATGCAGAATTTTTGGCGAAATGTGCTCAAATTCGTAAAGTGGCATTTCTATGCCTTTGGTTTGTAGGAGTTGGCGGAACGTTTCCATTTTCACATACAAATTTAAAGGCCAACAACCGTTTTCAATAACGTGCTTATAGCAAAGCGTTAAGATGTTATTATTCTCGTAGAATTCCTGTGCATTATATATGCCTGTATAAGCTCTAAACTCCTCAAGGCTCAGCTTCGAGAGTACGTGCCAAATATGCATTGCTCGACCGTGCGTATTATGGAGCAGGTACTGAATTGTGTGTTCCTAAGTGGCAAAATAAAGTGAACATTTTATACATAGCAACTAACAACTTTGTAATATTCTAAGTCTACTTAAGTATACATTTTTACGCAGTACCGCATAAACTTTAAATTGTGTAGGTTATTATGTCTCCGAATAGACTACTGGCAAATACAAATAATCTTACCACACTATTGTCAGCAAAAAATTGATCTTCAGCGTTTTTGAGCTCTTCCCGCTTATCAAATGTGCTTAAAAAATACTTTTCCACTTCAAGCCTTTTTTGCGGACACTTCAGCATACAAGTTATGTATTCCCGCAAATTTGTTGGCACAAAAGTCACGACGTTTTGTTTAGTTTTGCTACAAGAATAATTAAAAGTCATTAATAAGCGGCGATTTTTATTTATTTTAACTTTAAAGTTTCTTACCTTTTGAGCGCTGTACGCTCAGGTGTCGTCATTGGCCCTTCATCAACGCAGTTATCGGTTGTCTGCGTTGGGAAAGAATTAGTAACAACTGCAGGAATAGACAGTGACATGTTTCCGGTATTTGGCTTTGGATCAACCATTGTCAATCCTTCGCTTTCATCTATATTGTCCAGTCGAATGGCCATGGCATTTAAACTGGTTTGCAACGTTTTCGGTGCTCTATTAAAATTGTATTTAAACTGAGAGCGAATTTCGCTATTCATGTAGAAAGAATAGTAGAAGTCTTTTAGCAAATTTATGGTAATCTGCTTATCAGCCAATGTTGCTGTGGAATTTGTGTTACGAAGCGCGAGTTCAACAATCATTTCATCATGATTAATATATTTCTGGAATGTTTGAAACGAAACTGGGAACTCGTAATGAATGTTCTCAATGGGTATCACTATTGGTTCGGCTTGTATAAGGGGAGCAATGTCTGCATTATTCTGTGGCGAGTCGGGTGGGTCATCCAAAGGATCCAATTCGACGTTACTTGCCGTAGCAAGGAGATTATTGCGTATTTTGGAAGGACAGGGTTTTAGTTTGTATTTGTACTTTTTACGAATTTTCGGATCCGCATAAAAGGCTTTGTAATACTTTTGCGCACATTCTTCCCTGCTCATACCACTGTATTCTTTTAAACACAATTTTTCCACAATATCTGGCAGATTGAGAATGTGCCGACTAAAAGTCTTATAGTTTACAGGGAGTGATCTGCAAATAAATGAGATATTATTAAAAATTAACAACTAAATTGGTTCATAAATAGTTTCTTACGCTTCTTGTATTGAATAGGCGTTTAGGTCTTTTTCTGTTGAGGTTTGTTGCGGTTCAACAATCTGATTTAGACTCAATAAGTTCAATGCATTCACGACGTTTGGATTTGATGTGCTACACGAATAATTACATGGTCATAAAAAACAGGGATTTTTTATATATTTTGACATGGAAGTTGTTTACCTATTGTTCTCTTCGGATATAACCATTTGTTCGCTTTGTATACGGGATGCAACGTCTGTATCTTTCTGAGGTAAGTCGGGTGGCACATCCAAAGGTTTTAATTGTTTTGGGTTACTTGCTATGGCAAGAAGTTTTCTACGTATTTTGGACGGACAGGGCTTAATTTTGACTTTGTACTTTTTACGTATTTTCGAATCCGTATAAAAAGCTTTATAATACTTTTTTGCGCATTCTTCCTTGCTCATACCGCTATATTCCTTAGAGCCCAACATTTTGTCCACAATATCTGGCAGATTCATAATTAGCTGACTAAAATCCTTAAAGGTCACAGGGAGTGGTCTGCAAATAAATTAGATAATATTAAAAATTAAGAACTAAATTGGTTCATAAATAGTTTCTTACGCTTCTTGGACTGAATAGGAGTTTAGATCTGTTTCTGTTGAGGTTTGTTGCGGCTCAGCAATCTGATTGGGACTTAATAAATTCAATGCCTTCTCAATGTCTTCTTGAGATTTTCTACATGAATAATCATAAGTTCTTAATAAACACCGATTTATACATATTTTAACTTGAAAGTTGTTTACCTAATGTTTTCCTTGGATATAATTATATGATCACTTTTTATACGGGAAGCAACATTTTGCTGAGGTGAATTGGGTGGGTCATCCAAAGGTTTTAATTGTACCACGTTACTTGCCATAGCAAGGAGATTATTGCGTATTTTGGAAGGGCAGGGTTTTAGTTTGTATTTGTACTTTTTACGTATTTTCGAATCCGTATAAAAAGCTCTGTAATACTTTTGCGCACATTCTTCCCTGCTCATACCGCTGTATTCTTTAGAAGACATCATTTTGTCCACAATGTCTGGCAGATTGAGAATGTGCCGACTGAAGTCCTTAAAGTTCACAGGTAGCGGTCTGAAATAGAATATGTATTACCAATAATTTAGAAATTGGTCAATAATTTAAAAGCTTCTTACGGTTCTGGGATTGAGTGAGCTTTGAATTCTGTTTCTGTTGAGCGTTTTTGCGGTTCAACAATGTGATTTGGATTCAACAAGTTCAATGCCTTCACGACGTTTAGTTTAGTTTTGCTACACGAATATATAAAATTTCATAATAAGCAGATTTTTATTTAATATAAAATTCAAGATTCTTACCTTTTGATCGCTGCTTTTCTGGCTTGGTCAAAAGACGCAAGTGTCTCGGTGTTTAATGAATTGGTTGCTATACCTGCATCAGGTAGATCTTTACCATTTTTAAGTACTTGCTCAGGTGACAACATTGGACCTTCATCGACACAACTCTGGATTGTCTGCGTTGGCAAAGTATTAGTAAAAACTGCAGGAATAGACATTGGCATATTTCCGGTATTTGGCTTTGGATCAACCATTGCCAATTCTTCGCTTTCACCGACTTTGTTAAGTCGAACTGCCATAGCGTTCAAATTTATTTGCAAGTTTTTTGGAGCTCTATTAAAATTGTATGTATATTTAGAGCGAATTTCGCCATCTTTGTAGAAAGAATAATAGAAGTCTTTTAGCAAATTTAGGCACATCTTTTTATCAGCCAGTATTGCTGTGGAATTTTTACTCCGAACCGCGAGTTCAACTATCAGTTCATCGTAGTTAATATATTTCTGGAATGTTTGAAACGAAACTGGGAACTCGTAATTAATGTTCTCAATGGGTATAACTATTTGTATGCGTTGTATAAGGGATGCAATATCTGCATTATTTTGAGGCGATTCGGGTGGGTCATTCAAAGGTTTCAATTGCTTCACGTTACTTGCCGTAGCAAGGAGATTATTGCGTATTTTGGAAGGACAGGGTTTTAGTTTGTATTTGTACTTTTTACGCATTTTCGGATCCGTATAAAAAGCTCTGTAATACTTTTGCGCACAGTCTTCCCTGCTCATACCGCTGTATTCCTTAGAAGATATCATTTTGTCCACAATGTCTGGCAGATTGAGAATGTGGCGACTAAAATCCTTAAAGTTCACAGGTAGCAGTCTGGAAATAAATTAAATATTACCATTCAGAATAAAATAAACTCATAAAAACTTCTTACGACTCTTGAATTGAATGAGCTTTTACGTCTATTTCTGTTGATGTTTTTTGCGGTTCAACAATCTGATTTGAGCTGAATAACTTCAATGCTTTTTCATTAAGAGGTTCGGCTAGGCTCAATAAGCGCTCTTTTAACATTGCATTATCTGTTTTAAAATGATAATTATATTGCTGGCGCCTGTCCGGATACACGTAAAAAGAGCGATAGAAGCGTAAGAACTGCCAATCACATTGTTTGGGGCAATTCAACATCGCGGATGCTTTTGATTCGTCTTGTGCAGCTTTCATCAATATCGGTCTTATGAGCTCATCATAGTTAATATGTCGTTTGAATGTCTCTAAAGAAACTGGAAATTTAAAACGAGCTCCTCTGAGGATCGAAAAAAAGCAAGCGTTATATGGTTACATTATTCACAGTACGTACGGTTTTACATACCTGATATCCTGAATAGCATATTCGAGTTCGTTTAGCTCGCTGGTGGTGGCCAGTTTTTTAGAGGCCATTGTGGATTTCTCTACCTACGCAGCGAATATTGTATTCCTTTGAATATCATCAAAGGGATCTTCTATGTAGTAGGAAAAAGGAAATAATTTTATTCAATATTAGCTTGATAATCCAGCTCATAACGGATTCAATACAGCCGATGCTTTTATTTTAATTTAACATGCTGCGGTTCGATTTATATGGGCAGAATTGTCGCGTTCCACAGCGCTGGGAATATAGAGGAAATTGTTGCACAAAAAGGCGCAAAATACAAACAGAACAGCTGTGATAGTGATGGCAGCATTATATCGACCTATCGATAAGACCAACGCATTTACAAATTCAAGATTTTTTTTAAAAAGGGTGTCGTTTTTATGCTTCATATGGCACGATGCCTTTCGCTGCCTAAGACTTCTTCAGCTTATCCATTTGTAAATGTGTGCATGTATGTATCCAGGAATGTCTATATACATACATATATAAATGTAAGTATGTATCTATGTATTTATTGATATCCGAAACCGCTCAACCGATTTTAATAAAATTTTGGGGCAATATTCAAAATAGTCCAATGTGAACGCGATAAACCATCGTTTTCTTTATTATTTCTCATTGCTCATTTTCATTTGTATGACAGTCACTCGTAAATAATTAAAATTATAAAATCGAATACAAAAATATCCCATCAAAAAAGCATCTATTGGTAAGAAAAACTACAAAATCAAAAAAGATGAGCGAAAAAGAGTAGCTGAAAATGCCGATCAACGCTAATAATGTTTGCAAGAGGCATCCACATATAGAACAATAAAAACGAAACTAGAACGAGAGTGGCGACTTTGGCAATGCGCGAAAGGGCATCCATTTCTGATCCAAAAAACACAAACAGGAGGCGATGAATATCTTTTGTACAGACGAAGAAAGGTGGACGATGGCGGGTACTCAACTATAATCAAGGATATAATCGAAGCCATATCTTTTAATTTGTTTTTCGACTTGATTGATGCTCTCTTTAGATGTGCATAAGAACCGACTTAATCGAAGTTTAACATTTTTTCTAATAGGCAAATCGATTATACATACGTATACAGTTAAATACATATTAATAAACATCATTATTACATGAAAGTTGATAATGTACTCCCATTGAAAATTACAATTGTTTGTATTACCGATTTGAGAAAACCGCACAGAAATCGATGCAGTCAACATATTATTTTTCAGTTCCAGCTCCCTTCTGTTTTTTAATTAATATGTACTTTACTGAATTTTAATCAAGTGATTCTAATTCTAGTTTTAAAATTGCATTTTAACGCTACCTTACCATTTTACCACGTTTAGTACCATTATAAATATATAATTTAAATAATGTATTTCGGCATGCCGTTTTTTTCTGCTTATTGCACAACTTTTTATTTGCAAGTGCTATTGAAAGATTACATATTTTTATATAATTGGATATACAAGTATGTATGTATATGTTGTAGCTATTTTAATGTTAATTTGATTTCAAAAACATAATTAAAAATAGATCAAGAATATGTTTTTATCATAAAGAAGCGAAATGATAACTTAGTATGCTACGATTAAATTATAAACATTTAAATTATTAGGCTTGCGAAGAGAATTCAAGTCGCATATTCCATATACATAAATATGTATGTACATATGTATGTGCTACACACATACGTATGTTTTATGTATATATCGTATATTCTGTCAATAACCAAAATTAAGTCATAAGTCGTACCAATGTGAGGTGGTGTAATGTGATGTGGGTGGGTATGCATATATGCATGTACATATGAATGCATGCAAGCGGTGATATTGTTTACATATTTGCGCTTCTTGCTACTTTTACTACCGGGCACCATGGATGTTGCTTGCGACTCAATTGAGATCAATACAGATGAAAGTACCACAAAAAGGAAAAACAATAAAACTTGCCGCCATTTGCCTCTGAAACAGCCACTTTAACGACTCGATTCAAAGGACTATCACGCCCTCGTCCAACGTTGGCGACCACAAAAATATGGCAGTTGCCACAACTGAAAATGACGTCCTCCGTTTCCTTCCATCGACTCAATCTGCTCATGTTTGGAGCTTTACATGCAATAAACCGAGCCTCTCACTGGTAATCAGCATCAGATTAGGTTAATCGCTTTCTGTAGACCGCTCCAAACCAAAAAATGGAACGACTCTTGTCGTTGCTTCTCTAATGTCGCCCAAGGGCAACGACTCTGTTGCCGTTCAAATAATCATATTCAATAATCGTCGTCATCTGTTTGTCTCAATTGAGTTTCATCTAAAACACCAAACACTTAAGAGAATGTAAACTAAAATGTAATAAGTTCTAATTTGGATGTTGTGTGGGACTGAATAGCCGACGAATCGTTTTAGCTTAATTTCATACTGTTGTTGTTGTTGCCGCTGGTGCAGAAGCAATGTTCGCTTATCTTGTTTAGGGCAATAATTGTTCACCACTGGTCACCAGAGGTTCCGTGGCATGGCATAACCTTCTTTTGTTACAAAAATGTTGCGATCCGAGTACTGACGCACACCAATAGTAGCCTTACCCTCGGGCGCTTTTACAGTCGAACTGTTCCCGCCAGCATCGCTGTGAGTTACCACAGTTTCCTTTTTCCCATCCACCACGCGCGTTACGGTAGTGGTCTTGTTTCCAGACGAATCTGTAGTGATCTTGGTGGTCTCAAACGAGCCATCTGGCCTCCGCACCGTCTTGGTCATAACACTTTGACTGAACATTTTCGGACCCTGAGGAAACAAAAACAGTGTCTATTAGTATTATTTAATTTAATACTATAAATGAAATTTGGTTAGTACGAGAATGAAAACTATGTCATTGAAATGAATGTTAGACAATTCTATCTCCTAGGATATATTTAATAAATGAATATAAATATTTTAACACCTATAAATTCGTAGCCAGTTAAAAAAGTGTAAAACTTGTCGTGCTCAACAAAAATTACATATTGGTTTAAAATTTAGATCGAAATTAAAATCGCCCACACTGAATAAATATGATATTTCAATACATTAGTCATGTGCAGCATCAAGTAAAAGTATATAGGGGATATTAAATTGAACTAATTAAAATTCTTTTTTTTTTGGGAAGAAAGCAAATATGTCTCTCGCGATTAAAAGAGAATGAATTTGTATTTCTCGTTACGTATATTCTTATAAAAAAAACTCGTCTCAGATAATAGTACACAGCATTTTACGTTTTTATATTCTGTACCCTCACATTAGAAATGATATACTTGGTTTGTGTAAAGTACTTGTATATACCAAACAAAAGAAAGCATATTCAACAACGTAAAATTGAAAAACATTAACTAAATTAAAGATAATTGTACCATCAGAACTCTATAATGATCTTATATTTATGCTCACCTGATAGCTGCCATCGAATACTCCACCAAAAGGAGTCATGCCGCTACGTGGCAACATGGGTGTTATCGGAGTCATAATGTCCGGTTTGGTTGGCGGGGTCCGCGACTGACCCTTGCCACCCTGAACTTCTCCTTCGGCACTAATTGTGCCATGAATGCGACCCATAATAGTTTCCTCGTCGGAGAGCCGAGGCAAGGATTTCCGGTTGCTCCGCTGATTTGATGGCAAAATCTTGCTCTCCTGCCCCTGTTTCTCATTCTCTTCGGGGTTTAAACGTTGTATAAGCGAATACAGTTGATCAGCATAGATTCTGAAATAAACAGCAAACATAAGCATGAGCATAAAAAGTACAATTAAATTGATAATAGATTTTTTCTTACTCGCCATCCAAATCAGTATCAAGCGAATAGTCTCGCTTTTGCTTAGCAAATTCTTTTAATATCTTGCTTTCAAATCCAGGCTTCATAAAATCCTCCTTCAAATCCTTTTCAAAAACAGCACCACTCTCTGTTGAATTTAAATTATAATATTTATCAGCTTGTGGCGCATTTATAATCTATTACGCTTACCGTCGTTATCATTCAAAGATTCCAACAATCTTTGCAGTTGGCTCTCGAAGTGCTTTTGCATCTCCAAGGGGCTCGTGAAGACTTGAAAAGCGAATTTGCGATCGTCATCAAAAAGTTCATCGTCGGTTTCGGCCTCCTCAAACCATTGCGGCTTGCGGAACTCATCCTTGTTGCAAGCCGAAGCACTGAAACGCAAACAATTAACATAAGCAGATAGAAGAAATTGTGGTCGATGTCCCCACCCTCTTCGTCATTTGTATGGTGCGATGCACCCCCTGAGACGCAGAATCCACAAACGACATATAGGCACGAATTCTATACCCCCGAATACATACAGACAATAATACACACATATACAAAGGCGCATGCTTATATTAGTGTACATTTATCCTGGTTGAGCTAAAAATGTATCTACCAGGCAGCAAGTGCCTGGTTATTGATCCATTGAAAAAAAGCCGACGTCGGCGCAGCAATTTGTTTTGACCGTGCATCAGTTTGGCGATAAGCAAAGATTGTGTAATTCAATGTGCCACCTCAGAGTTAGAGTACTTACTCCTGCCCCTTCTCCGATTCCGAATTGAACATTTTCTTTAGTATATCCATTATAATTGATATTAAAAGTGGATGCTTCCTTGTTTTTCGTTCTGCAAGTAAGTGCGGCGAAAGCTCGAGTCCTTTTCGAAAATGAGCCGCAAAGACGTCAAGTTATTGATAAAGAAAACTAAAAGAACCAAAATCACGCAAATAACAATAGTTTAAATAATTCTAATTATTGTTATATGTTCCGCTGCAAATGTATGTTGTTCTCCACACCACCGAATATGCTCGAATAATCAGCTGTGTGCCGTATCTTTGTAACGAGTGGCAATGAAACATTGGTCGTTGAACTACGTCGTTGCGGGGTTGGCGGTACTTTCAAATGTGTTCGAACGTTTGCCCTTAAATTTGGACGTTTGTAATTTCTAAGCAGGTTTCATTTCACTTTTAAATTTTGTTGTATTTAATAATCAGTGTCTACTATTGTTGGGGCTAAGCACTGCCCTGGATTGTTTATTTTATTTAATATACAGTTTTCAATAATAATTTAATAATTTTTTGCGTTTTATAATTATACACTAACTAGAATAAAAACTAAATGCTAACCTATGACATACACCTACAAACATATGTCAGTAAAATGTAAAAAAACAGCCAACATTTGTGGAACAATAATGGCTACTGTAATTTTAATTTAAGTATTTGGATTATTCAGAAGCTGTCGTTAAGTTCCTTCATGTGCGAGATCTCACAATTTGTACAGATGTGTAATGATATGCTATCATTTTTTATGTAGCACTTTAAAGATGAGATGGTTGGTAACATAAGTTTTTGTTATTGAATATTAACAAGCCAACCTGATAAAAACTTTTGTGGTTTGTTAAAAAGTAAATCCAACAGTTTCAGACTATGTTCTCTTTGTCCAGATCCATCACATGACTGCGTCGCTTGCCGTTTTGTATTTTCATCATTTTATTTTCATCGGCGCATTTGGTTGTAATTGCATTTCGCACTTCCCGCTCACTTGCAGAACACTTGCGTGTGACGGCAAAGATGATATCCTGGATTTTAAGAGGATCTAGCATTTGTTTCAATGGCTTCTGCTGCTCCTTAAATGCTGGGGACGGTTTGCCAGTCATCGAGTGAGTGGCCAAAGTTTCACGGTCGAAAATAGCCACTAGTAGCTTACGAGTGGCAAGAGATGATGAGTTCCAATTGATATTCTCAAACACACTAGCCGGCACGCATGTGTTGTTCGGTCCAATAGATACCATTACATTGTCCCTGTGCTGCCCTTTTGCATCGCCTGCAACCTCTACCTTTGTCTTGGGAGTTTTACCAATGCTCTTGCGAGCTGGCAAGCGGTAGATGTTTTGTTGCTCCTGCAGAGGCGACCCAGTGTTCGGTGAATTTGTGAGCTCAGGCACATCCAGTTTGCGACGCTTGATGAACTGCAATGGAGTTTTGTCCGAACCTTGTGAAGGTTCTTGTTTGACTCCATGAAGCGCCGACTGTTGCTCATCGTGGAGACAAATCTCCAACCGGTCCGAGTCTGCGGAGCTACTGAGGCTGTTGAGGCTTTCAGCAGCCAACCGAATTTCAATGGCATCCGCATCGCTACCATCTGCGGAAATGATTTTATAGTCAATCACCTCGGTACGTTGAGAGGCCCCAGCTGGCACCACGGGTGCACAGATCACCGAACTTGGGGGAGTTAGAATCTGATGTTGCTGATGAGCGGGCGGAGTGGGTGGTGATGTGTGTGTGCTCTGAGCTGGAGCAGTTCCAAGTTGCATGCGCGCCGAGGTGGCGTGGATTTGTGAGAGCAAGTCCGATTGCTGCTGCAGCTTTGACTCCACATAGCGCAGCTTTTCTCGCAGCGCCCGATTTTCGGCTTGCATTTCAGAATCAACTGTACGCAACAAATCGAAATCCTCACCAGTTGTTTGCGTCCAGGCTGTGAGCAGCATTGGGGGCTCCTTTAACTCATCCTGCACACGCACAAAGTTGGCACTGCAAGAGTGTACAACTTTGGGAGGACGTGCGTATTGCTGCACACAGAAATGAAATAAAATCATTTAGTGCCAGTCAACGCATATTTCATAGAAATCTCACTCACCTGCGAGTCCATTTGGTCTGTAAATCGGAGCGTCTCTGGCAAGAAAAATTGCAATCCAAGCTGAAGTTTCCGTTTCCAAATGATGTAGTTCCGTTCACGTTGCTGGATACGCGCCGAGTGAAATTTGCGGCAGAATATCAAAAAAGAGCGCGAAAAGTAGAATGCACGCAATGGAGGGTAGTTAGCAAAACCAACAACAACACAGCAATGCAAAACAGCCTACCTGAGCAGCAGAAGCAACACGACGCACAAATGCAGTGTTCGTTTCTGTGTCCGAGGGTTTTGTGCGCGTACGATTTAGGGTTGCCACATGATCAAGGCAAATGTCAAGGCAAAATCATCTGCATTTTAAAAATTCCTGTATCATTTCCTTATTATGTTTTCATAATTAATTAAATACTAGTAATATATAGTAGTAATATATTTATGTATATTTGTAACATTCTTGGTAAATACTTGTAAATTCAAAACAAACTAGTGTCAGGAAACAAAACCGGTTATGCATCTATTTAATGGGACCAATAGAGCGTTTATCCTTTTAGAATAGGACCCTCACACATACATTACAACGAGGTTGAACACACAAGCATATAAACATCTACATATGTGTTTGTAGCCATGTAAAAATAGTTCTCTGATCGGAAACCATCCCTTCGTGTTCATTCCACGAAAGGCATTGAAAAGACCAAGCATGACGCCATTATAACATTCTTAAATTTTTTCAGGTAAGTAGACCGACCTGTCATTTTTTTTACAATTCGCCGAAAATTCGTATTCTATTGTTTATGTAGGGAAATCCGAAAATCAATGTACAAAGTTATAAAATAGACGAAAATAGAATATATAATTTTAAAAATTGTAGGGGTTTCTACAACCAAATGGGAGATCTTAGAATTCCAGTTAATTTTAAAAGCGTAATATTACGATTTTTAGTAGTTTATTATGCAAACAAATTCTAAAGACAATCAGTACTGTTCTAGCAAGTTCTAGTTCTAGTCCATGATTAGATTCTGTCATTTTGTTCATTTCCCCCCATAGCTACTGTATTTTATTTTAAATTGGGTGTTCGTGAGATATTAAGTTTACAAGTCCGCGGAATGGGACAAGTAAAATTAAAAATACAAATACAATATATTCACCCACAACATTTATACATTTGCTGATCTATTAATCAACTTATGCATATGTACCTTTACAGTATTGATTTATCTTAGTCTTAAAAATACGCTGGCACTACATCTTTTACTTTTTCATCGATTAAAAATTCCTTTTTTTAAAAATTGTATCTGATACTCAGTGAGCTGAGTCCCTGCTTTACTTAAAGAGGGCATGCCACTTCTAAATCAAAGTTTTACGCGTACAAGAGTCCCCGTCAACAGTTGCCATCTCTTCCAGTATGGTTTGAATTGGTTTTCCTTCATTAGTAATTAACTTTCTAACAGCTTACTTTAGATATGCATGGCACTACGATTTGGATTTACGATGTTACATGCAATGCAGATAAAAGCCTGCTATCGTTAGGATACACAGGTGTTTCCTCTAAAATCGCTTCTATGGCAGCTATGTATTCTCATTTAAAAGTACACATAATTAAACTCCAATAGGTTACATTTTAAGTCGCCAACGATTAATTTTGTGTCAAAATGTAAATTTTCAAAGTAATACGTTTTCTTATTATTGCTTTATGTCAGTCATAAAATGTTTGAGGAGATCGGTTATTCTCAGGTAGTTGGCAGCCCGGCAAAGAACCGTTAATCCATAATTGTAAAACAGGCAATGTCCGTCTAAATGCGGATTAACACATTTTTGCAAGAGTTTTGAAACATCTGCATATTGGACAGTGTGTCTGTTTCAGCTACCTGTTGACGTGAATCTGTACAATCTGAGAGTTTGCCGAACAAGAACACACAGAAGTTCATCTGATCGACTCAGTACAAATAGTGACACCACCGACATTTGCATTTCAGTTCGCAACGAACAGCGTTCATAAAAGTCACGCACCATTTAAGCAAAATATATTTAAGTACATACATATATACATATGTATATGTACATACTACATACATATGTATAGTTTCTTAACCGGGCACCATTCGCAAACTGAACTACATTTGAGTACGCATTAAATTATAATACAACATAATCAACATGGAAGGAGAAGTAATTGATGTTGATCAATACATTAACCTTGAAATACAGCGACAATGCTTAAATGCTCGACCTGTTCAAATGCAGAATGTAAAATTGGCGCGCATGCTAGGGAAGCCCATCACCAGCAGCTTTAAGGACGCTGTGACTAAACCTCGTGTTCTTGATGTCAAACTGCTGACCAAGGCACCAACTTCTGACTCAACGGAAGGAAGGCAATTCCTGCGTTTTGCACCTGCTGTCAAGGACAAGGATATCATGGAAACAAATATTCTCAAGGAAGCTAACAAAGCCACTAATCCTCGCACTATTGGCGTAAAACTAATGACAAAAGAAGTAACTTTCAAGGAAGCAAATGTGCTTCAGGATTCGTTCCAAAAACAAAACCCTATAAGAGGGGCAAGACCACAGCCACGTAATGTAATGATCGACAAGGAAGTGGGTAGGAATGAGGTCGATAAGCTGCGTAATCTCAAGGATCCCGGACAACTGAAGAAGCCCCGCATCATTGATGTGACATTGGTGGCTATGGCCCCGCCTTTTGATATCAAGGCTGACCGGGAAACAAATGTGGAGCCATTACCGCCTGTACAGCACTTCTTCAAGGAACAAGTGGCTAAAATAGAGCGTAGCCAAAGCCACTACTTGCAACTTTTCAAGCGTGTCAATTCGATGTTGGAAACCCTAAATAAGCGCTATGATGGCAGGGAGGCGGACGTAGAGAACGTCGATGACATCGAGTACAAAAGTGATTCCAGCCTCACGGCCAAGCGCAAGTGCCATAACATGTCCAGTAGCTCTTTGGACAGGCAGGATTTTATAGAGCTTCATTCGAATACTGAGAAGGTGGAAGGCGAATACCCCAAGCGTATTCGGCAGGCAAAGGGCGACGAAGTGGTTGTGCTTGGTCCGAATGGCACTCAGATAACTTCAGCTCAGTTCGATAGCGTTGATTGGGCCACTCCACAAGTAGCTACTCGTGGAATTTTGATGGCCGTCTTCACCAGTGATGAGTTAGCAACGCACACATTGACCGGCAAACCCTCACCTGCTTTTTATGGCAGGGAACGTCCGGCAAAGATGCAGTTGGATCCGTTAAAGGTGGATGATATAATCACTGCCGTGACCAGTACCATTGGTGGAAAGGAGCGACACATAAGATCCACGATTACTACCAAATGCGCTGATACTGCGAAGAAATATAGAAGACGGGCAAAGAAGGCGACAAGGAACACAGTTATCGTCCTGGACAATTGATAACTACATAGTCGAATGTTAGATTAAATCTAAAATTCGCGATCTTTTTAAGGATATTTCATAATTCCTATAGATTACACGGGCAACTGGGCTAAAAATATGATATGTCCTTGTTTTAAATGCATTTAATAAATAAATTTATAAATGCAATTTGTATTAACAGTGTTTATTGACGAGCTTTCATCAATCATATTAAATTTAGTTGTATGCTATTGATTTTCTATTTCTTAGCCTTGGGATCCCAGGCCTCAACTTTCGGCGGTGTTGTTGAGTAGGGCATGTACGACTCTGTAAAAGAAGTTGGTTCAAATTAATTGCAGCGGTGCGGACATATAAAGAAGGTAATATTACCCTTGGTTCCCGACAGATTTTCGCTGTGATCTGCTATCCATTTGTATTTGGGGCGACAGCCGTCCCGAGTAGGCGGTAGGTCCGTCTAATAGTTATAATAGTTAATTAGTAGAACTCGCAACATTGTAAAATTTAAAACAGCAATACCTTGTAGTGCATCCAGCCGTACCATTCGGCAGGTATTTGGGAACCATCATAATCCATACCCACATGCTGAGGAAATTCAATCCACCGATTTCTGCCATAGAAATAGTATGGGTTCTCAAAGTACTTGTTGCCGTACTTGTCAATGCCAACCAAGGTTCCAATCTTCAGATCATCATTTCTGCAAATTATCGTTTGTTTAGGAATGTTTCGCAAACAAATACTTTTGCAAAATTATATAAGCGCACCTGTATAACTTCAAGTATGTTTGTTTCAAGCCGCCAGCCTCTTGGATGATCTGGAAAAGCTTGGACAAGCGATTGATGCCCAGATATTTTGTCATTTTCTGTATGAAAGACATTTTGGAAACATTTTATATACTAATTCTGAAGGAAAAAAATAGTTTATTACAAAAAATACGTACGTGCAGCAAAACAAAGTCGCTGAGTGGCGTTGGAGCTGCCAACCTATTGTCAAATTTTTTTGGTGCGCTGCCATCCCATCATAAATTGGTTGTTGTTTTTATTTTCTTGGCTGCTTTGTTTACGTTTTTAAGCATACTTGGAGTATGGCACTATCTGCAGTGTTGGAAAACTGAAACAAACTGTTGTTTTCTTCAGCCCTGTTTGACCATATGTTGGCCGACTTGGACATTCTTCGTGATTCATTTGTGGGGGCAGAAAAAAGATAATTCGCTTCTATTGGTAAAAATTAAACCATTAGCTTTTAATCAGCATGGCCAAAAACACCTCAAGCTCTGCGTTTCGCAAAATCGATGTTGATCAGTACAACGAGGATAATTTCAGAGAGGGGGAAGACGATGCTGTGGACAGTGCGGCAGCTGGGCCGGATGAAAATGAAATCACGTCCCTGTTAACGCAGGGAAAGGGCGTTGAGGCGCTGCTAAGTGCACTGCAAAATGCGCCGCTACGTTGCAAAAACCAACATGTGAAGGTATTTAATTGTAATAACATATAGCCCCGTTTTAGTCACGCTTTCCCTTGCAGGACCACGCCCTCAACATAACATTGCGGGTGCTGTTATCAATAAAGTCCACACAAATCGATCAGGCGATTGATTCGGTCGAGCAAAACGATCTGATGGACGTGCTCATGAAATATATTTATCGCGGCTTTGAAATACCATCAGAAGGCTCTAGCGGACATCTTCTTCAATGGCATGAAAAGGCATTTGCCAAGGGTGGCGTGGGCTGCATTGTACGCGTGCTCTCCGATACGAACCGGGCCTAGGCGTGAGGCTGACTGGCTGGCATTCTACAAATAGTGACACTTATTTATGCAAACCAATCACACATACACACACACACGAGCCACAAACAGCATTTAGCCCAGGTGCGCATGCAATTGGAGTCAGATCTCTGCTCCTTGTATGGAATTGCCGCAATACAAATGACGTTTTCCAAATTAGATTTTAACTCTTATGCAAGTATTAAAGTTTTTATTATAAAAATCGCCAAGGATCTTTGTTTTTGGTAGATATCGAGCCCTAACATTTTAGAGAAGTATCCAAAACAAATCTAGAGAAAATAGCACATTCCTAAGATTAAGCACGATCAAATATTCGAGCTTCCATATTCCGTGGAATTAAACTTTACCCCTTTATGGTTTTTAACATTCCTTTGTATTTGACTATTTAATTTTAATAAGTGCTAGAACTCAAAATAGAACCAATAATGATGACAAAAGCAACATCATCTTACATGCATTCTCAAATCTAAAAAGCAAAATGGATCTTATAAAAAAAATGCTATAATGCGTCCGATATCAGAACATATAAGTGGGTAATGCCAGTTACAATGCTGATGACGAAAATTACAACCGCACGCTTATAAATACGATGCTTGAATCGGATAATCCTACGCGTTACAGGCGTTGGAGCCACAACATATAATTGGCGTGCTTGTTTTATCCTATGGTGTTCGAAACATGTAACAAAAGGAGTTTCTTCTTTCTCAATATGCGAAGTACTGTTGTCTTCAATAAATAGTATGTAGATTTGCTTATGTATGTTATTAAGTCGATACTTGTTCCAACCCAGCCGAACGATGCGTTCGGGCAATATCATTTCAACGCTCCCTCTACCACATGTGAGTCTCTCGGATCTCGCTGATGATGTGATTTGCACGTGTCAGCGCCTGTAAAATACAAAATGGGTGTAAATTTGAGTTGAAGATTATGAATGAGGAGGATTCTAAAGAATATTACACATATTGGACTCAAATCCATATCCTCTACAAAGCCGTAGGAACTTACATTTTCAAATACAATTTCCCAGCTCAAACTTACCTTTAACATATCTGCGGCCTCTTTTCGGCGCACTGCAATGTGATCTGATTCGTTTAGCAGTGTTTCCGCCTTGTCCGATTTGTAAAGATGCGTTACCAGTTCGCTTTGCAAATTATCCTTAATATAGTTAACCAGAAAATGCATAATGGCCTTTGGTACAGAGTCTTGTATGGATTTGCGCACAATATAGAAGTACGATTTAATCAAGCGCTCTGTGGGAAAAGAGTTTAAATTAGGCGACGTCCTTTTTACATCTTTGATTTATGAAACCAACCAATTACGTCACAATCCTTTTGCTCTTTGTCAGTTAGACGACGTGGGTTATGATTCGCTGGTACATCGGGCAACAAATTTACCGGCTTTACGGGACTTACAATATTATTGTGCACTGGAGTATTACTGGCTGAGTTTTCAATACTGTCGGTTCGCGCAGGTGGTAAAATATTTGAAAGCCAACCGCTAGCAACAGATGTTGTGGAGTTCTCGCCTATGTGATTCTGTCGTGAGAGTTTCGTTTTCAATATAACGTTTTCGTGGGCTAAAGTGTTTATATTTCACCTGTTCATGGTTCTCAACATGCTGCTGTTGTTGTTGCTGTTGCTGCTGCTGTTGTTGTTGCTGTTGCAATTGCAAATGCATTTGCTGCGAACTTTGCGCTGAGACCTGAGGCGATGCTGTGTTCCTTGGCGTGTTTGTACGTCGCTGTCCAAGATTAAGTTGTGAGTAGGGATCGTTGTCTGTCTTTAAAAGACTGGGCACCAGTGCAGCTTCCTTGTGGAAGTCGGGATGCTTGGTATTGATGTATGCCAGTTCAATTGCGACTATGTTCTCCACCATGACATTTGTAGCGGGCAGCCGTCTACGAAGTAGCTGTGTTACAACATCCACAATCTTCTCGTGAAGTTTAGGAAATCTGTAAAGCAATCGAAACATAATTAAATATTTTAATAAAGTTAGAAAGGTTTTATGAGAGCCAGCATAACAATTACAATCACCTAAACTTGTTGAGATATACTTCTTCGCTTTTACATGGGGACTATATTATATTAAAAAGCAATTCAAATTTCGATATGATTGTTAAATTAAAAATTGGCGTTCAATAACAATAATAAAACAAATTAAACACAATAGGTTTAGAACTGAATGGTTAAGTAAACAAATTTTCTTTACAAACTATCTATTTTTGTGTGGGCCAAAACGTAACCTTAAAGATGAATTTGCATAATTATGCAAATTTCAACATGGACATTAAGATAGTTGTTAACCTAAACAGACTTAGATCTTTGGCGGTAGAAAAATTATACTTCATGCAGAAAACTCACCATTTTGGGGAATATTTCTACAAGTTATTTTTTTTTTTTATATTATTCTTATCTCAATTTAATTTAATAATAATTACAACTGACCTCGAATTTAGAATATAATTACTGATTACCTCATCATCTCCTGTTGCACCTCATTGCCACAATGTTGGACGATGCGTTGCATCTCCTCGTGTATCAGTTCAACGCATCGCAGTGATGGCTCCTCCAGGCGACGTATTTGCCGTTTCACGAGCAACTCAAATGAAACCTCTGGCACAAAGAGAGCTGGTCTCGGACCGGTTGCATTGCGTATGGCTGTTAGAATGTCCATTTTACTTAGGCCTGCTAATGGATGTATTGAATCCAACGTGCGTCCGAACGTTTCATGGAAAATGTAACAAATTCGCGCACCACCGCACAATTCAGTCGTTTCAATATTGCGCGCAGTGCCATCAATAGTAGAGCAATAGGCGCTGGCGAATTTCGTAATGATTTGCAGCAGAGTTTGGCTCTTGTCTGAGACATCTTCGCCGTAGGAGCTTAGCAGCGATTGGAATTGCGTGGACATAATGTTGACGCGTGTCTAGGAGCATTTAAAAAAAGTATATATTATTATTATCATGTTGGAGTGGGATCGGCAATAGTCACCTTTAAATCAGGCAAGCAGTCACGTATGTGATGCATAAGCAATCGATTTAAGGTCTTCGCCAAATAAGGTGTGCCGTTGCGTGTAGCCAATGTCGGATATTTGCGTTGCAAGAATGCCGCCTCATCCTTCAGCTGTTCATCAATGTTCTTACTGTCAATAATGTCCTGTTGCGATCGATTCATCACTCCAATAATGCCCAGTTTGACGGGTATTACGCGTCCACAAAGTATATCTATAGCATCTGTGCCCGCATCCATAAGGTCCAATTTTGTAACCACAGCCAGTGTGCGTCTGCCATCGGGATCGACATCCTTACCTAGTTTAAGCGCCTCACTGGTCGCCATGTCAGTGTTGGCAGCCGTCACGGCCAATATTATCGAATTTGGGTTCTCTATGTACTTCAGTACCAAATCTTTGATTTGTGCTTCTATATCCTCCGGCTGATCGCCCACAGGCACTTTAGTTATACCTGGCAGGTCCACCAAAGTCAGATTGACAACGCGTGTAGAGAATATTTTCAGATTAATGGGCTCTGGACAAATGCCTTTATTGCTGCCAGCAGCACGCTCGGTCTCATTCTCGATCTCTTTACGTATCTCATTAAAGTCGGTGAAGCTTTTACGTGAGTGCAGAAAACGGCCCCATTCCTCAACATTAAGTGTTCCTGATAGGATTATTTTTAATCAACATTATTATTATTCTGTCTATTATGTACCAGAAAACTTACCATTTTCTGCCGACCGATGTTCACGATCATCTAAAGGACAATAGATTAGCTGCAGAATAAGAGGTCGACGTGTGACAATGCCAGTTCCTCGTGGAAGAAACGAGCGTCCAACAACACTTTCGATGACGGAGCTTTTGCCAGAGCTCTGTGATTTCATAGAGAAATATTTATAAAAGTTATTAAAATGCAGTGAGTTGTATTAAATGTTATATTAAATTAAGCTATTTAAAGTTTTTAGGCAACCCAAAAGCACGGAAAAGAATTGAAATGATTCATTGAATGGTTTGGTACGCAATCATTTAATATACATAAACATAAATGAATTTTTTCGTAAATATCGGACCTGTTGCATAAAGAAATTCTACCGATCTATAATCATATTTATGCGTTATCTGTAACTCTACACTAAAGCCACTTGAATAATGACAGATTAAACGAATTCAACGCCCATTTCGTCATACAATTACGATTTCATATTAACCAGTAATGAACGTCATCACAATGCACATTGAAAGATTTGTAACAATTATATAAAAATAAATCAGTGCCACAATAAACATTTTTACTTTGAGGCCCTGTGTTTGAGTTGAGAATGCTCGATTTATATGTGTGTGTGAATATGTGATTGTTGTGTGCGTGCCGGAATGTGTCAGCAGCTGCTTTGCGCTGTCATATACATATACGAGCTGCTATTGATTTTTCATAAAAGGAGAATTTGCGAAAAAACAATTACATAAACACTGGAAAAGCATGAAAGATGGCACATAAATATGCAACATGCGTGTTGAGTACGTTATTTAATGCTTGCCGGCATGCGTCAATTATTCCCGTTATATAATTTGCAACCCAGAATAGCCCAACAAGGAGATGGAAACGGCGGCTGTGTAACGTCAGCGGGCCAAAGGCCTTAGAATATAACACTAGCCTGGATGCCTTTTTATAGAGCACATATCTCACGTTTTTTTCGGGCAACACTGATCTCACCGATCAGCTTCTGCTGCTTACCTGACTGCCGAGTACAACAATTTGCGGCAATTGTATTGAGTCCGAGCCAACTGTGTTGAAGACATCTTGGAGCTTGTTTATAACTGGTATTAATGCTTCCATAATGCGTCTGTAATCAAGGGTCAAGGTTTGGCCACAAAATCGCTTAAATTATGAATGCTACGCTCATTAAATTGAACTATTCTTTGTGATTTAGTTTTAGTTTGACGCGAATGCCTCTAATACGATGAATTGTTGCAAAATGTCAGTGTGTACACATTCACACAATACTAGAACGAGTGTGTGCACAAGCTATTAGCGTTGCCATACCATTATATTTATTATATGTATTTTAAATATTGATGTGGCATCGCCTTGAACACATCCGTTGACTTGTGCAAAGTTTAGAATTGTAACGAGTGGTGCTGAAATATTTAATGCCTGCCTTTCGTAGGTATTTGACATTTTTACCTTGCGCTTTCTTCTTCGGCAATAATAAATATTCAAAGCATGTGTGTTCGTTTTCAAATTGCGTGAACAGCTAATATGATTTCAATTTGAATAGTAATTTAATTATGAATTGGGACTTTATGTAAGCGCGGATATTGTACATTTTTACTTCTTTGCTATTCAATAACTTGGTGCAAGTCACGTCAGACTCTTTGCCTGTTCAACTGTTCAATAGAACCGAATAGTCTGCGTTTCGTTCGGTTACCAAATTCAATTTGCAGAAACCGCAACCAAGATAGAGCTCGAAAACCTCAACGTTCACTGAATGTCTCGCAAGCACACATGCAATTCGATTGAAAAATTTAACAAAGTGGCACCAAACAATAGATTGCTCTGTTTTCCGTACTTCCTCTTATTCGTCGTCGTTTTTAGGGGCTATATTTTTTGGCTTTTGGCTTGACAAACAGGATCTCTATTCATACATATGTACATACATATGTGTGTATGTGTTAGTGTGTGTGTCTGTGTTATGTGCTTCATTGTGCAAACTTAATGATATGGGCCGAGTAGGTTCCACATTCGGCACACTCACATATACATGCACACAGTTACACATGGACACACCACAATGCATTGTCTGGCCATCTCAATATTTTCCACTGCTTTAGATAAAAATGTTTTGTTGTTGCTGCTTCTGCTGGTTGACAGGAGGCGAGCAGCCCCAGAAGCAGCAGCAGCAGCAGCCAAAGTACTTGGTCACAACCAGCGCACAAATAGAAAAAGGACAATCGAGGTTGACTCAAGTGTTGAGATTTGCATGTGGTATTTGGGACAGCTGCAGAAAGAGTGGAGGAGTTGGAGAAACACATTTTGTTTGCATACCGATTTCCACTCGTACATGGAATTGGGTGCATGACGCTATTGTGTTGCGGCTCATCTGTCGTTTTTATCGTTTTATATCAATGCTCAATGATACTTGTCCATACACATTTAAAATTTGATAATGGCCCAAAGAAAGGGATGGCCGAATAATGTTGTTGCCCGCTTTTATGGGCATCTGGACAACAATTTAAGTATTTAGCTATTGTGTGCGTGTGTAATCGTGACAGATTTGGGTATTAAAAGGTCAAGATGGGACCGAAAATAAATAAGTAAATGGTTTAAATACGACCATATTCATTCAGCAAGACTTTTTATTAATCAGCCTTTAATGGTTTGCCCCGACAGATTACTTTTTAAAAATCTTAATGTGCCCAATGAAACAAAATTAGAAAATGTACGACACTAAATATTTGCGATACAGGACGGCTGTTGCTAAAGTTAATCGAGCAGGGTACTTCGAATCATTTATTTAACAAATCGTAATTATTATATTCTTAAAATGAAGTCACTTTTAGGTTAATTCGCTTTTGCGGGATGAATTTTCATTTGCTTGTATAAACATTTTTTCCACTCAGAAATTAAAACGAGCTTTTTTATTGATTCCCGCGAATATGTATATATTTTAAATTAATTTTATTTTATTTTTATTAATTTGTTCATCACTATTCTTGTTTCGTTACGTCTAATAACGACTCTGACTACTCTGTGCTGTGAACCGGTGCATAGCTAAATATAAATAAATAAATAAGTAAATAAATATTAATCCAAAATCGTGTCGGATTCGTTATTATTAGATAATATTGTAATTTGTATAGGCTTTTTACTTTTTAATTTTGTTTACTTTAAGTTGTTTACTATATTGATTTTCTACATCGACAGCTTTGTTTGTTATTGAAAAAATAAAAGAAATAAAATAAAAAGAAACGCTAGTTTACTGAGCTTACTTAATTTTGTTGCCGCCAAATGATCGTGTAAATTTGATTGATTTGTTTAATGACAATGCCTAAGAACGCATTAATCTTGCGATGTGTGATATGTCGATCTGCATGTAAGGCAAGCATCAATTATTTTTGCTGTCCTTGTCTAAAATGTACCATATTTATATATATGTAACAGTCAGAAAGTATAACTAAACGAATTGATATAGACAAGTCAGATTGTCTGATAGTTCATATGAACATAACAACTAGAGATATCTTACTTGTCTCTAGTTGACTTCTCATATCTCATCCATATGCCGAGTAAGATCATTCTGAACCATATAATAGATATGTCATAATTCTTTTATATACAAGTAGCTCTCCAATAATATTTTATTTTTTATTTACTTCAGCTAACATATTTATAAATGCAAACTAAATGTAAACTCAATGTTTAATAGAGCAATAGTTTCTATGATCTTTAACTTCCTGTATGTATAGGATAATGAATTACATATTTTGAAAAATATTTAATCAAGAACATAATTGTGAAAGAGTACATATACATCTATCAACATGTGTATTTATGTATGAGTAATATAGGGGAATTTTAATGGTAGGGCGTATACTACGAGATAAAGATGAAGGTTGAAGGACTAGTAGCTGGAGTAGTAGTGATGTTTTTGGAAAATATTCCATTCGTTTAAAACATTTCAAAATCGTTTTTCTCATTCTCCGATGACATTCCTGCTTGTAAATAGTAAATACTTTGTAAGTAATTTATTTATATTTATCTGTTTTGTCTTAAAATAGTCCAATAACAATAATACAAATGTTTCTAATTAAAATAATTAACGAATTAAAACCGCATTATTATTCAGTGGCAGGTTGTCATTTTTAATAGGTCTGCGGTGTTCATGATGATGAAAGCGATAAGAAATGGCCGGAGGGGTAGCAGTAGGTTTAATCTTAACGTCTACATTTACATTTATATAAATATGTACATATTGAGTAGTGAGGTTTTTTTTTCGGTAGGCACCGCCTAACAATAGGATTCAGCATATTTAAATGTCCCATCAAATTGTCATTGTTGGACCAAGTTTTTGGCGTTGACAGGACTTCTAAAATGTGCGTTGCATGTTGGAGTCGCTTCGTTAGCTCATGACACACCTCGCGCACAGTCTATAGACTCAACTTTCTGACATTTATTGCCCAGGACAGGCCGTTGTGTCCCCGCGTCTTTGCGTCCTTGACTCGCAGTGGGATGCGGTGAGCATTACACTGCTCCTGGCTTCCGTACGGATGCTTTGGTGCGCAGAGCAAAGTGCCGGAATATTAATTTGATAATTTCACGCTAGAATGCAAATTTGGTGTCGAGTCTTTTGCTCTCTAATTGACTGACGAATATTTAAAATATGAATTTCAAATGAAGTTCCACAACTGGCTTTTTTCGTCATTCGTTGCCTCCGGGCACGTGGCAAGGTCCTGGATTAATTATGGCTTGCTTCCGCTTGGGGTGCTGATGTTGATGATAATGCTAGAGACCAATCCTATTTGCTGCGGTTGATGGTAGGCAGGTACTGGGCGAGTTAGCATTTGGGAAAAGAGGCGTTCTCTATGCCTTGTGAAAATTCGCAAGTAAGGCATTAATCATCCGAAAGTAATTTTGCGCATTTGCATGCGTTGCAGAAAACGATAATTTTCATCCATCATTTTCAAGTGTTTCCGCAGGATTATAATGCTGTCTGCCATAGAGTCAGGCAGCCAACCATCCTGGCATCGTGGCATCCTGGCAGCCATCCAGCCATCCAGCCATCCAGCCAGGACTGTTTGCTCACTTGCTCTGGCTGCCATTGCATGTGCAGGCTGGCAGTCAGACAGTCAGGCGGCCAGGAGGCACTGAGGCAAGCAGGAGGCATCAACTTGATGATGCGTTGCCTTGTCATGTGCTGCTGTGTGTGCTCCGCTCATTATCCAACGTCGTCGTCAATTATTCTTGTACCACGCCATGCAGCCCTTGTTGTTCATGCGGCGTGTCTTCATGTGTGTGTGTGTGTGTGTGTGTGTGTGCGTGCGTACATACATAGTTACAGTATTCGTTACCTATGAGTGCCATTTCCGATCAAATTAATTGGCCTTAACTATGCCAAAATGCTCGCAGATCTGTTAAAGTTATTGCTAATTAATTGTTTATCTATTGCAGCCATTTGATATTTAATACTTTAATAATTTTTTTAACAGTCTTCTTTTAGATATTATGAATAGAAATAGTATTGGGAATGTGCTTGTTTTTGTTGAGAAAGAAGAAACTTAAAGCAATGATTTGACAAGTGATCGAAAAGTTGTCTTCAAGCGCTGATAAATCATGGAACCTTCTATACTTTCAGGTTATGTTTGAGAGATACTTATGGCAATAAGTCTGCTATATCGGCCATAGTATGATAGTCATTAAAAAACTTGAAAACAGATTAATACTTTCTATAGTTCATATAAAATTTTAGATTACTAAAACAAATTTAATTTCATTTTCAAATTCGACCATTTCTTTTTACGGGAACATTGATTTCTAATTGTTGAACTCGAATGCCAACTAAGCATACCATAAATGTAGACTGTATCTTCGAGCTTCAATTAAATTAAAAACATTTTCGTCCAATAAAAAACGCAGTTAAGGTTTTCCCGAAAGACTGCTTAAATGCTGATCTCCTTAAATCTTACTCTTTCTTCAGCAACGATCCTGAACATAGAAAACTAAAAGAAATCGACTAATTAAAGTTTTACCAAACTTGTCTAAAAGGCATGCATTTTAAAGAGTTTCATCGCTCATCATTTTAATTTTAATTTAATTTGTCTTCTTCTATCTTGTATTGCTATATTTTTTCATCTACACTTCTGTTTTGATAGGTCTAATAACGTATCTGACTACTCTCTGCTGTGAATCGGGGCATAGCTGGCCGTTTGGCAAATAAAATTTCCCCACCGTGTC